CAAGCAACATCTGGGTCAGCCTCGTCTTCACAACTACCTAAGTGTGACCTCAGTTGTTCCTGGAACCTACTTTTGGTTTTCTCGTTACTCAACTCAGTTCTAATGGGTCTTTTTAATGTGGCTTTTTTGCGTCCAGTGAGGCGCAAGCAGATGCGTGCCCGTATTAGGGCATGGTCGGAGTCCAAGCAGGTACTCCAGAATGAGCGACAATCTTCTACCGACCCTCTCCAACGATGACTGATGGCAATATGGTCTATTTGAGTCCATCGTTGGTTTGGTGTAGGGGGTCGCCATGTTAGACGATGTCTCTCCTTATGCTTAAAATTTGTGTTTGCTAAAAATAAACGATTGTCTGAGCATAGCTGCAGCAGACGATCACCATTATCTGTTCGCTGTGTCGGAATACTAAAATATCCACCTAAATGCCTTTCTGTTTGGTTTAAACTGCCTATCTGAGCATTAAAATCACCTGCTACGAGTACTATGTCTGAGCGTTTAGCTTTCTGAAGAAGTTCGGATAGCTTTCTGTAAAATTCATCTTTCACTTCATCTGAGCTGCAGTCAGTGGGAGCGTAGGCAGAAACGACAAAAAGGCAACGACGTGTGTCCCTATCCTTCCGAGTTCTTACGTAGCCGTTCAGCCGAACAGCACATAGACGACTGTTGACGGGGATCCACTCTAGCAGTGCTTGTTCGGCCCTCATGCTTAGTGCTATGCCTACACCTGCCAGTCCACGAGAACTTGCCATCGGGTCACCAGACACACGAAGGGTGTATCTCGTTGGCTCTCCGTCTTGCCGAGGTGAGGTCAAGTGAATGACCACACTGGAATCCTGTATGCGTGGAGTTGGCTCACACGCCATGTCCAATGCGCGTCGTTTCGCTTCATTATCTGTGATTCTCTGATTGTCTGTTACGATCAACGAGTGTACAAAATATGCATATTCCAACATTCATTTTCGTATTTGACTTATTTAATTCCGTTATACACTAACGCGATTTAAGTCGATAATGTTATATGAGGATTGACGATATTTATATTTCAATAACAATCAATTATAAAAACCAATTAGAGTCAGATATCTATCCACTAAACTTTTCGTTGTCGTTGCTATAATTGTTGGGTGCATATCATTGGATAATATTCATTGTGATCCCCTCCCTCTTTATTTCGAAGGATGCTTTAATGATCCTGCATCCATGAGATTCTCATGTTATAAGTGCTTTACGTGCTTCTTTGGACAGCATCAAAACAACTCCCCGAGTGTACAGAGCATTTTCCTCTTCATGACCCGAGTACAGCAACATCTCTCCCGAATCTAACCATTTCTGTCCAACTTGGGTCCAATTGGTTTCACTAATTCCGATCGCCACCAAGTTGTATATCCTCATTTCCGCAGCTATTTGATTTTTATAGTTGTGTACGTACCGATTAATTCTACTCACACAAATATTCCTTATCTCCTGATTTTTTTCCGTTTACACACATCCCTCTAGTCAACTCTAAGATTAGTTTCTTTATTTCCTTTATCTTCTCTGTTATGACGTGTGATAACCTAAAATTACATTCGTGTGCTGCAGTGGCCCACTAAATCAGCGGAAAAGTACTCGAAAATGCTAAATATTATTGCACCGTCACTGAATACTGAAAATGGATGGTTATTCTCACACTTGCAACTTAAGTGGTACATATTTCCTACCTTTATCAGGTCATTTGTATAAGGCTTGATTTTTTTCACGTTGGTAACACTTCCTGTCGTATACATGATATTTGTTTATCAAACTGCTGAATTGATTATACAACTTTCTTTGTAACATAGAAAATCCTGTACTTCAGTTTGTTTTGCGTTGTTTGTATGTGTATTTATGCTTGTTCGTTTATTTGTGAGGATTTGTATATAATATTTGTACTTGCTGATACGAACATCTGAATCGATGTACACATTCTGATTCTGTTCACCTTGGTTCTAGTTATTAATTAATCACTCCATGAATGACTCACTATATCGTCACTGACTGGATTACGGATTCCGCTCCACAGGGAGCATTTGTTTCTTCAATATTTTCGTAGATGGATTTTACCGTCGATCCACATATCGTAAGAAATCCAGATTCAGAGTTTCGACAACCTCCCCAACACAAATATTTACTCCATATTTCAGTGATAGACCATTTTAAACCGAGATCCATGTAATCTTAAGTGTATAGAATTTAATATGAAGATGTGAACTGGTTTTCTCCATTCTCTATGTTGCCTTGTCATTATGATTTTATTAAATGCGACCTTAAATTCGTATTCTTACAATTGGAAATGTTGTATTCTACCTTCGAGTACAGATCATTTGGGGATAAGAAATCAGTGTCGGTTACCTGAATGTTTATAGACTAATGTCTGATTGGCTTATCTAAAAGATATAGATTCACAACAGTCATCCTAATCCGGTCGATAAATGCGCGCGCACGTGTGTGCATGTATACTTGAAGTTCATATAGGCAATCATGTGATCATTAAGTGGTAGATCAAGCTCTTTCTATCACACACACATACAACCACTCTGTAGTTATGTGCGGACGTGCATGTTTTTCATTCTCCATTTTTCATACTGGATGAATGTTATTAATATACATATATAAGTGTATGTTTATGTATAAATACATATCTGCGAAATGTATGTTTCCATGTTGACATTCATGGTGAATTGACGAGTATTAGAACGACAACCTAAGCTTAAATTTCTTCTCTTGCAAACGTTGTTCGTTTTTGCTATCTCCGTTGTCATCGTCATCGTGGTTGTTAATCCTCCCACTGACTAGTTGGTTAAGTGTACACTACTACTGCTACAGTGTTGGTGTGATTATTAACAAAATATGATTTCAATCTGTGAAAATTTCTACAAATCTCCACAAACCCCTTCTGAAAATATTTTGAGTTAGTCTGGATATATAAATCAATGTGTCGTAGATGAGTGACCTGATATTTTGTCAGTCATCTTGTATGTATTCAACGAATACCTCGAACACATTACTACATATATATGTATATATGTGTGTGTGTTTGGAACATTGAAATGCAGTCAATAAATATGTATACAGATTGCATGCCTGATTATTCAATCAATATTCTAGCTTCTTACTGCCTACTTTGATTAGAAACTAAGGCAAATAATGGAGTCAATAGATGATTAGAAATACCCCTCTTTCATTCTCAAAATCAGTCATGATATGATTTTTTTTTATCGAAAAGAAAAAGGGAGTCAAATACTCAATGATGTGATTTAGGACTATTGATGAAGGACTATACTCTGAGACGTTATGAACTCGATAGTGATTTTCGGATTTCGAGAAATTAATTTCAAATTAATAGTATTCTTCTGTCTTTCAACCAATCGTTAACGTGTTGTATTCAAAGAGACGAGCTAAAGCATTCAGTTTTTAGTTATGCTGAGTTTTACACTAATGAATTCATTTGGTTTTTAGATGGTTTTAGGGAAGCATTAACCTCATCCTACATTGAGATTTCACAAGAGTACTGAGTCATGAATCCTCACGGAGTCGAACCCCAGGACCTTCAGGTCTTGTGGTGAGCTCGTTAATTTCAAACCACCGAGCCTGCAATCAACAAGCCACATTTCCAGCTTCACAATGAAGTTCAACAACCCTTTGGGTTGTATTTTACAATTGATTATTCTTGAAAGTTATGTTGTATTATCAGCATGAATTTCCAGTTTTATTTGTCCAATCAAAAATCACTACTATGAGGGATTTTTAACGCGATCTCTGTTTACAACAAAATGGTTTGTTGTTGTTGTTGCGATGCGGTCATTGTTGCTAAACTAGAAATTTTTGTTTAAATATTCGATAATTCTTCCGATAATACTTGTTAAAAATACAAATTATTTTTCATGTTTCGTTAAGAATTAGTTCAATTAGCTTTTTTACTTAGATTGTCTGTATTTTCGTATTATTTACTGCTATAGTTTAATACTTTAGTAATTCGCGTGACTATCATAACCAATGGTTGGAAACTCTTGGTGACATGGCTCAGAATCGATTACAATGGCGTCGGTGTATACACTCTCTGTCTTCCCTTAGACTATGAGATTATAATCGCTTCATATCTTTCTACGTACTAATTCTTTCTTCATGTACTGTATCTTTATATGCAATCTTTTTATATACATTACCACCATTGAATTAACTACTTTTATGAATTCGGTGTTCATCGTGCTGTGCTAATACGGTATGGTAACTTGGACCGATGCATATATGTGTCTGGTCCTACGTTGTAGCTGACTGACTAGTAATTTGTAGGCAATTGGTTCCCCAAAATTTTACATTAAATATGACTCACTGACTTGATATATTCCATAGTGTTATAGAATTACGTCATATACTTAAAGCCTCACTAAATAATGTAACATATTTGTACTTTATGACACAGTCTAATTTCATCTAGGGACATCCTGAAAACTAGTAGGCATACTGGACAGCTGTTTTGACCTTGTATGAGACAAGCGAACACATTGTACCTATGACCTCTGAAGGACTCGGTCCCATGACGTACTCGTGAAATTCAGACCTTTTGAGTTAATATGCAGTGGTTTACAACTCTAACTTCAATCAATTCGCTATTTTGCGGACCCGTCGTTAATTTGCATCGATGATATCTGTCTTACATCCAACATGACTGAACTCCAGTTACACTTCCTAAATAGAATTTTGAGGATTTATCTCGAAGTTATTTACTAATGAGCCAATAAAATTGTTATTAGTTGAGAAGGGTTGTGGAAATTTTCTAGGTGTAGTCAGACTGTAGAGAAAACCACAAAATGGAAAATATCCACTAATCTTTGGTAAGAATATGTAGATTAATTTGAAAGGAATGTGTTTTATCCGTTATTTGATCTCGACTTTTTAACTGTACTTTTTTAAAGGCTGTCCTCATTTTCAACTTGTTAATGTTTTGATTATATATTATCATTCCTGTCTTAATCTTCTAGTATATCAATTTATACAACATACTACGCTAACTAATCCGAATAGCAATACAGATGTAATCAACACTACTGCTATTAATGATGGTCAATACAGTAGTAGTATTGGTAGTATTAGCCTTAGTGGGAACGGTAGAACAGATTCAACTAGTATTGACAATCGTTTTACGAATTCTGTCCCCCAGACTGGTATACGAAGAAGACCAGAAGAAGCAGCAAATGCAGAAATGCATCAACAATTCAATCATTTCAATTTGAAAAGGCCACGTTTACAAACATCTGACAATGTACATTCATCGGTAAGTTTAACGCATACATTACTAATTTCGAAATTTTTTATTATGAATCCTTATCTGGATATTATAAACGTATGAAGGAAAAAAGTCTATTACGATACCAAATATAAGTTGGCTACAGCGAGAGAAAAAGATTCTTCGAAGACATTTGTCAGCTATTCCACTTTTGTAGAAAAAAACGGAAAAAATCTGGTGAAAATATTTTCGTATCAACGGTTTGATCTGGTAAAGTTATACGATGATATATATATATATATATATATATATATATATATATATATATATATTCCGCCTGGAGCCCTTTTAGGGTTAATACCGGTCCCAATCCTGGATAATGAAGTGTTGGGCATGGAGTTAGCAACCACATCCCATAGGAGAGAACTGTGTTAAAAAGCGCTAATCAGAAATATACATACATATTTATACATATATTGAAAAATAGGATTTAGTTGAGTCACTAATAATGCTCGGAAATGAAGCTAGTATGTTTATGAGAAGTATGAAATATATATGCCCACTTGACGAATGTAAAGAAGGTGAACAGGAAGAAGAATAAAAATATGGTGAAGAAGAGAAAATCAAGTTTTAGAGCTATAATAAATCGAGAGTTACTTTTACACACACAGAATTCGAGTCGGAGTTGCTGAGTAGCTAAAACCTTCACACTTCACAGCTCTTTGATCTTCAATTCCTTTAAACCAGTTCACGTGATTGTGTGGATAACTCTAGTGGACCAACCTGTCTAGTATTGAGCTGTTGATTGACTAGGGTTCATCTTTTATGATTCAGGGTAATCTCTTTAGAAACAACATTGTGCAGCTGATTTAACCTGCTCCATAAAAGCCAGTAATCTCATGAATCTGTATTAGTCTGCTTTTTTCCAGTCTTTTAAATTGACATATTATATTAAACCAAAAAATAAACGCAATTTAGATACTTCTGCCTTACTAAATTCACCAATCTGTTCACGTACGCAAGAAGTCTTATCACTATAACATAACATTTATTGAAGCAAAAAAACTAATTAATACTGTTTTTTTTGGTTAAAGTATGTTCTCATCTGGATCCAATGACTTTTTATCAGCTAAAAAATCAATATCAGCCTATTCTTCCTCACTATCTATCGTTCGACCAATCAAATCATTTTACACTTTGAGAAGTCACTTATGTAATTGAGTTCAATAATAGTTTCTATGTTGAAATATAAACAAGGAAGTTAATTGTAGGAGTACATTTATCAGACACACATCACTTATGAACGTAACTTGACATTTTATTTTGTCGTGATTAAAAATCCCTTTGAAGAAAATGAAACTGTATTGTGTTAACTGTTGTGACTTTAAGGTCGTCTAATTATCACGTGATTTATTCTTCAATCGAAATATGACTTATTGAATCTTAGTACTGTACTAAACCAATGAATGTCGACTGGTATGAGTGGCCTAGTGTCCTTTGTACTTCTAGCCCGTTCATTTGAGTCCAGAACGTCAATAACAGCTACGAATATTCGAATCATTTATTTAAAACATACTTGGTTTATATACCAGCCAAACAGACCACATCACACCATAACATAGGAAACAACATTTATGCGAAATCAAGCCAAAATGTGTCTGTGAACGTGCGAGACGGTAATTAATTAACTGAACATAGTTTAAGAACAATAAAATATGTACTAATAATCTATAGGTCAAAATGAAGCTTATAATAAGGGGATTATAGATATAAATAATCTAGTTACTGAACAGTTATACAATAGGTATATATATATATATATATATATATATATATATATATAATATTAGTCCATTAATAGCTCTCAGGAGTCACCCGTGATTTAATCTTCAATAGGATATAACTATCGAGGAAATTCAAGTTCATCATCGTTGTGTCATTTTGTTGATCTTCCAACAAGTTTGCACATTGATTTTGTCATATAATAAGAAAACTATTGATAATCCAATAAATGATCCAAACATATACTGGCCTCTAGAATAAATGATTGCTGTAGAGTTCCGACCTGCTTCAAGATTAAAGTAAAACTGATTATAAATTTAGAACTACTTGTTAGGTACGTGAAACTGCTCTATATACACTTATATTTCGTTACATTTCCTTTTATCGATAGATTCATTATTCTCACGGTTTATATAATCATTGGCTAATAAGCTGCATAACCATTTCAAGGTTATCGCTTATAATCACTAGTGCACTATGTAATTCCACTCTAATTAACCATTTTCATATAAAGTTATCATGAACGAAGCATTATCTTGTAATTTGATTGCTAGTTTTTGATTAGTATAACATTTTAATGTTTAAAATCATAAAATATATGTTATTTGAAAGTTTTATTTTTATTCTAAGGGATCACTATGGTTTTTGGTTAGCTGCAATGGTTTATTGATTCAACAATTTATCTATCGGTTATTATTCACCAACTGGATCCAATGTGTCTACTTTATCGTACTAGGATTTCAGTGGTCAGCTTCATACACTTATATACTGAGTATCTGAATTAATTAGTGAAATAACTTTGTTATTTACAGAGTTGTGATACTGTATAGTTGTGTACGCATTTTAGTGGCTTATATCCGACTCCAGGTCTATCATATGAAGTAATGTTATGGAAATATACATATCGTCAATCCTCGTATAAAATTATCGACTTAAATCGCGTTAGTGAATGACGGAATTAAATCAGTCTAATACGAGAATGAATTTCTAATACGTGTATTTCATACAATCGTTGATCCAGACAAACAATCAAAGAAACGAAGCGAATAAAGTGAAGTGATAAGAGCGAAGCGAGATGATGCGCAGTGGAGAAGGCATGTGCACCTACTCGATTTAATCAAGCGTTAATCGATATTAATAGTCAGAACAAAAATAAGCTACAGATATATGATGAATAGGATAAGAAGTACATACACATACGCTCATATGACAACAGTTAATTTTGATAAGCGAATAACTGACAAGGTCAAAATGTGAATCAAGAAAAATGAATAAATTGACCTGTCTAGAAGCTAGAATAATTTGTGTCATCTTAACATAGCAACGAACACTATGTTCTCTTTAATGCATATAAAAAACGTTTAGATAGTCATGTAGTAATAATATCAACATACAGATATTGGATTTTTCTGGAAGGAAAAAAAAACAAACAAATTATGACTATCACAAATTAATTAAATTACTCTTTACTTGTCTTCATAAATAATTATACAGATTTAACATTTAAAACACCTCTAGTAAATTGTTATAAATGAACTCAGTTAGACAATTGCTGTAAATAGTTGTGATGACCCTTTCACTGTTTAAATGTTTAGATGAACGTTTTTTAGTTTTAGTTAACATTTAGAAAAAAGAACATGTACTCAAATCATTTTGGCAATTAGTTTCATATTACTAGTTAGAAGTGATATGAAATTTATTAAGAGAGTAGTATTTATATTTATTATTGTTAATATTGAGTAGAAGTTTTTTGTGAATTTATCCCTCAGAGTTTATCACATATATCACTCACCTCATTCCAGATGGAATACGGTTCATGTTGTCTAAGGTAATAAAAACGTTTATAGATACTAATTTCTTCATTCTTATATATTACGGATTTTTGTTTGTTTGTTGAAGTAGCCTATAAAAGTTTGTTATTTCTAGTATTATTAATTTATTTATTGGATTTTGATGTTATTGTTGTAACATTCACAGGAACTGTGACTAAAATTGGGATACATAACTATGCACTAGATAAATGAATTATAAAAAAAAATTACAAGATATTCCTTCTAAGCTATGCTTTAAAAATCTATAAGTTGCAAGTTTCAACCTTGCTTCTATGTACATCAGCTTAAAAAGTCAGACAGAGTATCACTAGTTCAAAAATAAAGATAAAAACTAAGCGGTTAAAGGTTATTACTCAAATTTACATGGAAACTGTAAAAACAAACATATTAAATTGGTATCTGGATATCTAATATATATATTCAGCTTCTCACTAATAAAACAATGACTCGAAACATGCCCTATGCTTGTGAAACCTGGTCTCTCCGAGTTGAGGACGTTAGACGACTCTCTGTGTTCGATCATCGCTGTCTCCGAAGGATTGCTGACATTCAGTGGCAACACCATGTCAGTAATGCAGAGGTTCGGCATCGTGTGTTCGGGCACAGAGATGATAATTCAATTGGTGTTACCATCTTGAAACACCGACTTCGGTGGCTTGGACATGTTCTCCGAATGTCGTCCCAGAGAATTCCACGTCGTGCATTGTTTGCCGACTCTGGGACTGGTTGGAAGAAGCGGAGAGGTGGTCAGTGCATGACATGGTGTCGTAGCATGAAAGAAAGCTGCAAAGGGCTGGCTTGTGTTGGTCCTTCACGACTCCCCGGCTGGGGTCCGAGAGACGGTGCAACACAGTGGCTAGAGACGTTATCAGATATGGCTCAGAATAGAAGCCAGTGGCGATCCTGCTGTAACCTTCTTTTACTTTCTTCCTAAAAAGTGGTTGTGTCTCCCTTACCTGAAAGATTTCTTCTGATTGTACCTTTGCGTTTCCTGATTACTAGCACATTACCTTACACCAATCTCTTCGTTATTGTTCTCTCTTTTTTTTGTTGCGCTCCTTAGCTTTTTTTTCTTCTTTCTCTGTATTCCTCTCGAATTTTCATTGTTTTGTGTGGCGCATACATTTTGGCGCTCTCTTGTACCAATATTCATGTGTTCAAATAAATAAATAATAAATAATTTATTTTACCTTTGATAATCCTGTAATACACTAACCTACACATATATTACACAGCTCAAATCTGTACATCGTAACGAAGTGAAAAACAGGGTACATTTATAAAATGAAATGCAAATGCATTCGAAAATTCATCTGTTTTTGTAATCACTTCGAGCCTGTTTGTAAGTTCATCACTGTTTTAGGTTTATTATCATTATTATTATCATTACTATTAAAATATTCCAGGATGTTGAATATATCGACTTGTCGAATAGTGTACATTCATCTCAAATAAATTGTACAACTACTAGTCCGTTAGATCTAACTGAAGAAGAACAATTACAACTGGCTATTGAAGCATCCAAAAAGGAGGCTAAACGACAATTGGTAAGATAATAATAAAATCAATTTATTCTCTCTCTCTCTCTCTCTCTCTCTATATATATATATATATATATATATATATATATATATATATATATATATATATATAGCAATGTAAGCTTATTAATCATATATCGATTTAATGTATTTAGATTTAAGCTACACTATTGTTATTTGAGAAGGCTAAAAGCAATAGTACTCAATTGTTCAAATCGAAGTAGAAGGGTAAGGGTCCTTAGTGAGATGAAATTGCAATCCACTAGTTGAAATCCAGATGTTCTTTACCACTATATAACATCGTTTTACAGCACGTTTTTGTGTTCAGATTTAATCCAAACTGTTTATATATAGAGGGTTAGTCATACTAACCGGTACACAGTTTAAAAGCTGAATTAATCATTCAAACCAGTGAACAATCGTCATTTTTTAAAGAATCTTATCACTTTCCTAAATCTGTCTATATATGTACTATACATACTAGTAAGATATATGAATACCAAATAACGTGTTAGTTGAAAGAATGGTCAGCACATTACTTTTTCATTAAAATCATTAGCCGATCAATTTTACACTATTATTGAAAACCTAGAAGCACTGGAACATCGTTTCGTCCTATTATAAGACTCTTCAGCAGCGCACATTCATGATCAGGTTGTCAACGGTAGTCTAACACATCGATTCATGATTTCAGTGCAATTCAACAGTCTCCAGAACTTTATTCGGACATTACTTTTTCTTATGCTTTAAATAGTGTCTAGTTACTTTCTTGGAAAAAGTACTGTGAAGAAATTTACGGTAGTATTAATAGTAGTATAGTGAACAAAAGTCAGGTACGGAGGATGTTGGGGACGTTAAATCCCCAGAACGCATTTAGGAAAGGACCTAATTTTGTAATTCTATTTAGAAAATTTGAATTTCTTTGTTTTCGCGCCAAAGGCGCTCTTGTCACCATGTCGTATTTCCCACTGGGAAATATCTTAAATACTATTGGTCCGTTGTGTCTTTTATTATGCTATTTAGTAACTCTCCCCAAGAACGGTTTTGTACTATATATATATATATATATATATATATATATATATATATATATATATATATATATATATATATATTTATATATATACGACTCGTAGTAGTCATCTTTTTGAATGAAACTATTACAATCGCTTTTATTCTCTGTTTACTATTTTATTTTTTATTCAGTTCACTGATGATAGTGAGATAGTTCTCACAGATGATGAAGATGATGACGATGACAATGATGAAGAATATATGAATGGCAATAGACGTTTAGACACTGATATTGACCAACAACAATGTGATCATGAACAAGATAAAAAGCAATACACACATAATACATATGAAGATGATGATTGCGTTGTAGTTGACTATCCTAAAAAGCCCAGCAGTTCATCATTTGTTTCGTCGACTACAGCATTTATTACTGCAAGAAGACCGTTAAGACCATCAGAAAAGTTAAGTGAATCAACATCCAATAATGATTTGAAATCAGAAATTTTGACCGTATTACCTACTCCAGCACCTGGTGAAGCGGTTATGGAATTACTTTTTCGTTTACCCGATGGTAATCGTGAAGTCCATCGACTTCATCCTACTCTCAAGTTACAGGTAAATTTAACTATTTTCGAATGTTTTCTCTCTCTTTTGTTTTATCGATATCAAAAGAATTACAATCATGTGAATAATGAACATTTGCACTGAATTTATATAATTTGATGTCATAAGTGAGGAGTCGCTTAGAGTAAACCAATTTTCATTTTATTATCGGACAAGTTGAATCATGACAAGCAAATTAATACTTACAGGAAATGTCAAAATCTAAAAATGACTTACTGTGACTATATACTTTTAGTGAGATTTGGCAACATAGATTCTCCCAAGCAGGTATTCGTGCTAGGTCCTATATTAATAATTAATTGGTCAATATCACAACATGATCTTCGTTAAACAATAATTAGAAACTGGAAGGCATTGAGCATCTTTCTCATTTTACGACTGGACTCTTCAACAGTGTGTATTTACTATCCCACTACCGATCTAATCCAGGATTTCCAAGTAAAATAGGTAAGTTCATCGTCTTAGTGATTATTTCGAAATGAGTTGAAACATGTCGGGTACGAGGCAGTTACTCACCAGTGACATCGGAAGACAGTTGCAGAATATCACTAATTGATTGAAGTTGGAAATGTAAACTGTTGGATCACGGCTTGGGGATCTAAATGCTGTAAGACTTAAAGATCTTGAGTTGGGTTGTAGATATCCACTGATGAGAAGTGGCATACTAGCATAAAACAACTGTCCAGTGTTTCCTGATTTTCAATAGTCGTTTAGCTAAAGTCAGTTTGTATTCTAAACTAGGAAATTCAGCAATCTCCACAAAACTGTCACTCTAATAACCGACTTTTGTTGCTACTGTAATAAGCTGTACTAGGTAATCAAGTGGACTGATGATTTTACCTGTTAAATCGCTCAACTTTCATCTATTGAATCTCAGATTCAAGCTTTCCTTTATCTACTTCATTTATGGATACCTAGATATTATAAAATGCATGATTCATAGTTTATCATAGTTTTTATCGGTTTAATGAGTCGAAAGGTGTTCGATATCAATTCATGTTGTTACAGAATTTTAACTTTATTATCTTGTCAAGTCAGATGTTATTTATTAAAGTGTTTAATTTTAACATTCTAGCCATTTATAATTAAGTGTTAAGATCATTGAACATATGATAATTTTCGTATATATACTTAATATTCTTTTTTCATGTTTAGTACTATTCTTTATCCCGATGTAAACTTATGACTTAGTCATTGAAAGTTTGACTTTTTACTAAATGAATTTTTGATTGAGATCATGAACCGTTTGATGTTAGACCACCTTTGGAAACCTGGAAGCACTGCACAGCCGTTTCCTCCTGTTGTGGGACTCCTCAGCAGTGCTCAGTGGTCCAGTAGGTTAAGCGTTCGCGCGCGAGACCGAAGGCCCTGGGTTCGAATCCCGCGAGCGAGATCGTGCATGCGCACTGTTGAGGAGTCCCGCAATAGGAGGAAACGGCTGTGCAGTGCTTCCAGGTTTCCAAAGGTGGTCTAACATCAAACGGTTCATGATCTCAATCAAAAACGTAATAATCTCCACAACCCCTATACTAGTAAAGGAATTTTAATGGTTGAGATTATGAGTCAATTGAAGTTAGACCATCATGGAAAACCTGGAAGCACTGGACGCGACCAGGTTAAGAATATTAATCATATTATATACTGTTGTGTATTTTTTAAACGACTTACAACTTATCTCAAAGCTAAATACTGGGAAATTCAAACGGTGCTATCTTATTGGTTTATATATACATTTACCTCATTCTATTTTCTCTAAAGAAACCAGTTGATTACATTGTAACTTGTACTTTAAACATATATAGGATGTAAAAATTTATTTTATGGTGAATCAGTGGTTATATCACATATGTTATGCCTAGAACTATTTGCCATATTCAGTCTACTAGGTATTAAATAATTTATTTAGCTCATTGTTTACAGACCCATTTACCTGACTTTGAATCACACTTTTTTAGTGTAAGAGTCAGTGATACTATTTCCTTGTTCTAATCGTAGTAAATTAATATTGATTTGGTTATGTAAGTCGTTAGTTGGACTCCAATTGTTTAAACTATTAACTTTCCATTTCACCAGTATTGTCATCCTTTTTATTATTATTATTTACTTTCATATTTCTAGTGTATTTTAATCATTTATACTTATCAACTAAACTATACTACTACTAATAATACTATTATTATTGTTATTACATAATGAATAATGTTTATTATGCAATATGTTGTTGTTTTCCAGTTATTAATTTTCTTTTCTTTTAACATACATTATAAATTAGGATCTACATTCATACTTTGAATATCGTGGTTATCCAATTAATAGATATGAAATTGTTCGTATTCATCCTAATCTATGTCTTTCATCAATGCATCAATCAATTTCTTTGACAGTTGCCGGTCTGTGCACCAAAGATACTTTGTTTATACAAGAACGTTAAAAGTCTTTAATGTTGTATAGAAATTATTCTATGGTTAATTTTTTAATCAGTATATATATATATATATATATATATATATATATATATATATATATAGTAGTGTTTTAACATATCTTTGGGATTTCTAACCTTATTGTAATACTACTGCTCTTGCTAATTGAATTTGATCTTTTTGTATTGATCTGCAATTGTAACCACTAATATTATAACCATAAGATAACTGTATATGTACAATAGCTATTCCTTTCAAACAACATTTCCATTTAGATGATATAATTGCACTTCTTACTCTTCTTTTTCTTTTTCTTCTTCTTTTTCCTCGTCTTCTAAAAATTAATTTTATTTTGAAAAATTTTTTTTTATCAAAATGTGACAAATGGTTTTCTTTTCTTTCAAAAAGTGATTTTCATTCATTGTTGAATGTTCCATTTGTGTTGTTCAATTACTGTATGATTGTTTTTTTTTTAAAATTCTTATTTCTATCTCTATTATTGTCATTATTGATCATATACTTTATTTAGGATCATCGGTTCAATGAAAATGAAATTTGGATGAAATGCCCATAGAGATATATATGATTTTTCATATTTATTCAATTGATAATAGCAATAATAATTATTGTCACTACAACCTAAACTGCACTCTTTATATATATACCAGTTTGTTAATGTGTCTTTCGATTGCTTTACTGTTGGAGAGTACCTCCCCCCCCTCACTGCGTTCAATGTTCCAATGTCATATTGTCATTATTATTTATAAGTTTGTGAAACGAAAAAAAAATATGATTAGGAGGAATGTTACTGTTTACTTATATGTACACATTTTAATTTGTCAATAAATATAACACCTTGTCATCGTTAAGAAATATAGTTCTATTGAAAAAACAAACAAACAAGATTATGTGTTCTCTTTAATTTACAATGGATATTAAACATTTCATGTTGTTGTGTCCTTTTATCTTTATGGTTCAGTATGTATGTTGTTTGTTATCTGAGTTCAATTTTTTTGTTTTATGATAAATTCTCACTAATGTTTATTTTGTTTATCAGTAATTATTAGATATTAGCGTTTGTTAATAAGACAGGGTGAACAATTTTTAAGGTTTCTTTTTTCTTCATATTGTATTATCCTGTATAAATTTTTGTAAATAATTGTGCAATGTTTACAAGTAAGCGTTTACAACATAATTTTGTCGATCAATATAGGTTACTTATTTGTCAGTGTTGACCAGATAACCTTGACAAATAAATTTTAGAATATACATTTCATCCTATATGAAACTGGTCAATTGGATGTACTTTCATATCATTATCAATGTTAATAGTCTAATTTCAATCCAATAGCTTAACTAATAGTCAATGAAAATAAGAGGCTTTTTTCTAGCTATACAAATGTTCAAGCAAATAAAGTACATTTGTTTGCTTAAACTGAAATCATTGAGATTTATAATTATTTCACCTATTCAATTCTAAATTTCATTCTTGTATTTTGTATTACGTAATGATAAAACTTTAATGGAAAAAAACAACAATAACTTGAAAGTATCCAAAGTGTAGTAGCAAAATAGCATTCACATAAACTAAGTTGAGTACATAAATCTTTACTTAATCAATGAACTACATTTAGATTACGGTAATAATTCAATGATTCTTTCTTACAGTTAACAAAAAAAATCTACTTAAACTTATAAAATTTTGTGAATACTATAAAGATTATGTTTGCTGGTCGGCGGCCTATGCTCCATTGGGAGTAACAGGCGTAAGTAAGTAAGTAATAAAGATTATGTTGGAAATATTTTCTAGAATTTACATAAGACCATGTATTATGATTATTATTCTAAAATAAAGTACCAAATTTCTCTTATAGGGGTATGAGAAATACTTTTAAGAAACACTTTCCATAAACATGTTTTTTTTACTGTTTTAGTTTATATATGCCTCTTTGTTAATATTCAGAGTTCAATATATAAATTGTCTTCAGATGGTGGAGAAGATTTAGTAGCTCAGCTGGATGTATCCAGCTCAGAGAATAAAACTCCATCAAAGTATAAATAGTCTTTATTGACCTATAAGCTTCTTCATTAAAATTGATCGAAATTCTTTATGTTTTCAACGTAATGATATTACTGTGACAGTAAATGACGTTGGGATTAATGATACGCATTTTATCCATAAATTCAAATAAAAAAATTGTACACAATGTTAGAAATCATTTTTCGTCAGTCTCATACACATAGTTTCTTTTATCATTTTGAAAAGAGCAAGAACAAACATTCTACATGAGGGGGTTTGGTTGGAAGTTCTGTTGAAGACATATTCCTATAGTATAGCAAGGGTGTAAATAAATTTATTAGACTGAATATTGTACCTAATGTAAAAGAACATTCTACAACATTAATTGTGACAACAGTTCAAAGGGCTAGAAACAAGTGATTACATAATGAATAAATATTGATAGGAATATAGTGAGTAGAGGTCAGTTGACAAAATAAGATTATTAATTTGAAAGATTGTTGAAATAAAACTCATGCTATCCTACTAGAATCTTTGTTCTTACTCTTTTCGTAAATCTGTCGTTTATTTTTCTGTTAAGTAACTAAGTAAGTATATTTCTATAGTCTGTTCCATTATCATAAATATCATTTTCATTTGTTTTTCTTGTATAGTTGAAAAGTCTAGTCTCTGACACACTGTCTTGTACTTTCTATTTAATTTATAAACATAACACGAAACAACATTTTAATTTATTATTATTATTATTATTATTATTATTATTATTCATGTATTTTCAATATTTTTATTAATTACAGATCATTACATAACATCAACGAAGATTACTCAATATAAATAACATAGAACAAGTATACATATTTATATCTTATGTCAACATCACAAGGATTTATAAAAACTGTTATGGTATTATTAGAAAGTACTAGTGGTTCAGGGCATTGTATAGTTGGTTTTCGACCACGTCTAGCTACTAATCGTAAAGAGAAAATAGCATTTGATCCACTTGTTCAACAAAATGTTTTATATCGTGAATTACGCAAAATACGTTCATTGAAAAAAGCAGGAAGTTAAACTATTATAGATATCTATTAGATAAATACAATGTATAGTAATTCTTTATTTTATTATAAATAAATAAATTTTCACTTCATTATTTCTTTTCTTTTTATTTACATTATTTTAATCAATCTATTGTTTTTGATATTGTTTGTTTTCAATGAATGACTGTAATGATTGCAATGTTAACTAGTGTTGGGGATGGTTGGAAGAAATTTAGGGGCGGCTAAACCAAAACGTGGCATCAGTGCTTGAAGTCACTAACTTCTAGTCTGAGCCATGTTGGTAGATGCAGACTACTTGGTTGGGGTCCTCACGACAATCGTAACCAATGTTTGGAGAATCGATCACAATAACTTCGGTTTATACACTCTTTGTCTTCCTTTAAACTATGAGATTAAAGTTGCTTCATATCTTGTCTATTTATTCTGTTTGTTTTTTTTGTGTGGCTTTGTGTTTTGTTGAAAAACAGATTTTCAGTATTTCACATTAAGAGATGTTTAGTTTCCATCCTCATTTTATTCTTTCTACTTTGTTTAATTATTATTTGACATGACAGAATTAAAAAAAGAAGCAAAATTACATCTTTAATTCATTGTTATTCTTGCTCAATATTACTCAATTCAATGTAATGTTCGTTTGATCCACTTCTCTGTGGAGATGAAGTTTGAAACAAGAATCATTCATGATCTGTATATAATCTTAATGTTATTTGATACAAAACTTTAATTATGCGTCTTTCTAGATGTGAAATGTATATATAGTAGGTAGTAGTGATATTCAAAATCAGTGTTTCGTCCTATTTAGGACTTGTCAGTTGAGTGCGCTTGTTATATATTATCCAACTTTTACAAAAACATGTGCCTAAATAGGAATTTCGAGTCAATGAATGCAATACATTTATACCAGATAGATATTGATCAACTGCCAACGAGTGAATAGAAACCTGTCAAGTTAAATTCTATTCATATATACCAATAAATAATGGACGTGATAAATGTAATTTGTTTCCAACAGCATGAAAACACTAACATTTATTCAACACAGTTCTTGGATCAACTTTTTTTATTTGCTTTCAAACTACTTAAAGCTCTGAATCATTTAAGTAGTCTGTTCAAAATACATTATTGTAATGACTAATTGAATTGATTAATTAATGTATTGTAAAAAATATTTTTGTAAATATTAATTTTTCTCATTATTTTTACAGTGAAATCTCTATTTATTTCAGTGGTGGAGTTCATGAGTCAGTTGAAACTAGATCACCATGGAAAACCTGAAAGCACTGGATGGCCGTTTCGTCCTATCGTGAGACCCCTCGGCAGTGCGCATTCACGATCCCGCCTCGCGAGATTCGGACCCAGGACCCATCAGTCTCGCGCGCAAGCGCCTAACCACTAGATGGGGAGCGATCGTGGATGCGCACTACTAAGGTGTCCAAAAATAGCACGAAACGGCCGTACAATGCTTCCAGGTTTTCCATGGTGGTCTAGCTTCAACTAACTCATGATCTCAACCATTGAAATTACTATAATATCCACAAAACCCCTTCTGATATAAATCTTTATTTATTTATTTAAAAAAATGTTTAGTGCACCAATGAAGTCCTGTTGGCAATGATTATTTGTTCATTGTTTTACTAATAATAATATTCTTTTACTGGATGCCAATTTTTTGGCGTAATTCTATAATATATCTTCATGAACTCCAATACATTGACACCAACGGGGAATCATTCCTTTACATCTATTAATTTTACAACAACAATAAACTGTACTGCTATTCATACAACGACTATAACAACAACGAAAACAAATGTCACTAATATTCCTACAGCCATTACCAATACTTCTTCGTCTACCACCACTACTACTAGTATTAATAATAATAATAATAATGCAACAACGAATACAATTTTGAGCAAACTAACTGATCGTGCCACTTATTTTGCTGTTGTTTCTGATACTTGTGCATTCAATCGTAATTTATGCAAAACTCGTTATTCTCGATTACCATTTTTGGATTTAGCAACTCATATTTCTCAACGACCAGCTCCATGGTTATATCATACAAACAGGGAATATTTAAGAGGTAAGCTAAGTATCTTTACTGTTGTATGTAGTCTTTCGAATAAATACACGAAATGAAATCCAGTCTGAGTTTTCTCTGTTCAGAGCATCCTTAAAAGTCTTCAGAAGTCAGACTATATAGTCAAATGGTTTCCTGACCTTGGATTATCATTCCAGTTCCCACTGAAATGCCTTGATCCAATTAAAAACGTCTGTTCTCTTCATTATCTCACCTCCATGTACAGTGATCACTTGAATTTCATTGAAAACTTACAATTGACGATAGAGCTAATACGTTTGACCTCTGAGGACTTTCAAGGCTGTTTTGAGCAATGGAAACTGGTGCAAAACAAGCGTATCGCCAAAAATGTTCGACATTTTAGAGGTGGCACGATTGAGGTACCCTGGGATCGTGTTCAATAAACTTCTCATAATATCGATTCGCCTATTTATTGAACATACTGTGTAGACCTAAGTTATTCCTTTTAAATATACCTTCTCTGTATATAGGCTTGTATTGTTTTATTCCAATTGATTTATTTACAGAATCACCATCCAAAGATCCCCATGTTTACTTACGTTTTCCTCGTTATCGTTGGCATTTGGACTACCAGTCACCCCATAAGAAGCGTAAGACAGCTAATCAAAAACTTTGGTGTACGTTACAGAATGGATTGAAAGCTCTTGGAGTCTCGTCTGACTTAGGTAAATTTTGCTATTATTGCTGTTCTGTGAATAAATGTCATGGAAAGTCATTTGCATGTTCTATTATTGTTTTGAAGCAAATCTGATGTATTAAATCATTGGTTAGTTGTGTTTAATATCAATCAACAAGTATGATATTATTACTTGGCAATAGAGATTTATCGTACTCAACTCCGAATGTCAATAATGGGGATTTTCAAATGTTTATGAATACCGATCAGTTGAACAAGTTGATGGTTATCTGGACTCAATGAATCAGTGGATAACGTGTTAACGTTTGAAACGATACCCACTGAGTTTAAGTCTTAGTGTGAATGTCAACTATGTAGATGCAGGTGTATTCAGATGACTAATTTGAAGTTGTAGAAAATGCATATCTTGTATCGCACTGCTAGCTTCAATCCAATGGATTGATTGACTGTTTTCTGCTCCATTTCTATAGTACATATAATTCCATTTTTATCTGTCGCGTTTCAGTTTTTTCTGTATAATCTATGGATTACCTGTAACTGAACATTATTAAAATTACCAAACAACTTAATTTAGACAGTTATTGGAGATTTAGATGGACTGGATAGCTGTTCCATTCTAGTATAGGAGTTAATGACAGTGAATATCCACTATTTCTCCACTGACGATCAAACTTAGGACCTCCGACTTCGCCCACGAACACAATTTCTGAGCCGGTATCCAGCGGTGTACATGTTTAACTTTGTACAGAACAATTTTTTTCTATTTTCTGGTACAGATACGCTTTACTAATATAATAACCATTGAAATTGTACAAAAATGGTGTGGATAATAGGTTATTATTTGAATTATATTATTTATTGGCTAGTCAGAGTTAACTTCAGTTATCTAATACCAAATGTCGTTTGTTGAATAAGTAATCTAAAGACAGCATTTAAATGCTATTCTGAAACCTCAAGAAGTCGATTCCCAAGACGATAAATAAAACGAGTAAACATGTATTTTCCTGTTTCACTGGCAGCATCATGTAAATAACATGAGTTCTTTTATCACGTTCATAGACTTAGGTTTGACGGTTAGTTTGCTACTACTCGGATGCCTTAACATAAGTATTTGATGTGGGCCTAAAAAAATCTATATTTATAACTACTAGTCTGTCGATATACCTATATATAACTATATAACACGATTTAGTGTTATACAGTTTATTTCTGTTTTCTTCCAACCTGTTTAGTTCCTGTTGTTACAAGAAAAGCTTATGCTATAGCTGGTCTCTCAATACCATCAAGTTTAGCTAACTACTTGGATGTTCTAAATCCTCGAGTGTCTGTCAGTCATACAACAGGAAATAATGCTAATAATAATAATAGTAACTTAGTTATTTCTACCGGTACAACTAACCGATTACAGCACTCAGGTTTTGTTGGAACAAACAATTCCAACGTTCACTCGAATTCGTTCCAACGAAAAATACTTTATGACGATCATGGTGATTATTCTCATGATCCAATGATCAACTCAGCAATAATAACATCCATGTTACACGATGATGAAGAACATGATTATATTGTTAGTGATCGAAGTCAGGATAGTGTATGCTTTTGAATGGTCGAATTGGAGGATCGGCGTCGAATACTCCAGGCTTTTTTGGTGGCATCACTGGTGATGATAGTACACAATCGTTTGATGGAATGTTGACAATGACTAAACGTACAAACAAAAATAATAGGACAACTTCTGATAATGTCAATATATCCGATCGTAGAGATTTACAAGATGATTGTCAGGATACACAGCATAGCAATAATAATCATATAATGTCAAATAAATCAGATTATACTAAAACCTATGATTTAGATAATGTATCTGAAGATGATGATAATCAAAACCGGGACTATGACGTAGAGGATTATGATGGCGAGTTGGGAGAAGACATGGATGGTGATGACGTTGGCGGTGATGCAGATTGGTTTGCTGGACGACGACGCGGGACGGGAGCAGGTGGGAATTTAGGTAATAACGGTTCTGGTGGAGGTAATGATGGTCTCGTTATGAGTGGCGACGGAAGAAGAGGCAAAACACGATCTGTATATTCATTGAAAGTGACAAAATATAATCGAAAAATCGTCAATCAGAAAGTTAATCGTTCGTCCCAAAATTTTCCTGCACTCAGTAGTCGCTTAGGAGGTAGAAGATTTACGAAACGTCACCTTGGCCGTCCATTTTCAGGTCGACTTCAAGTGAGTGCTTTTTTCAATGATCGATCACTATTTGTAACATTTCCTAATTTTTTATGAAACGTTGACTTAACTAAAGTACTTGTGATTTCAGTCTACTGATATTTGACTACTTAATAACTGATTTCTTTTTCTATCCGTATGTTAGCTATTAGTTCATTATTGAGTGAGTGTGTATCATGATCGACTCCATTAAATGATCTCTACTGACATTCAGACTACTCAAATCTTACCTAGTCATATGAGAATCGGCTTTTTCTCAACTCGTGTCCTATGAATTTTGTTGTGGAAAGGTGGCTTAAGATCTGTTTACCTCAGTGATTGCTTAAATAATATCAGTGTCTGTTACACATTTTATAATTCTTTGGAGTTAAGATGACTTAACAACTGATCTTTTTCTAATGTTACTGTCATAATGTAAACAAATTTCACAAATAATTATTTTGACTGTATTCTGGTATGTATAATGTAGAAGGTTGTTCAAATTCTAAATATGTCACAAACCTATCTTCAGAGGTTCGTTCACGTCATATGTATCGTCCCAACAAATATCTCTGTGAATTATTTACTATCATTAATGTTATGTTTTGTTCTACTATCGGATTCAGTCTCTAGTTCACCTTTTACGACGCTCGATAAACACAACTATACAGAGAAAAAAAAGCAAAGAATAAATAGTAAGCTTTATTGCTAAAAGTCAAATAATTCTGCTTACAAATTATGGTGAGTTTAAGTAGTAACTTACCAAGTTATTTAGCAATTATAACCCTGGTACATCGAAGCTCAAAAAATTAAAAATACCATTTATTCAAAAGATATGAACATTTGGAAGATTAAAGTTGTAACATGACTTCTTTGCTAGGTGTTCAACGTAGTGTATCAACCCAGTTATTAAAATCACCCAGGTGAAATTACCGGCGATATTTCGGCAATTTTACAATCTGTTAGCGAAAAAAATACTACATAGTCCTCATAAGTGGCATATTTTTGATCCACTATCTGTCTAATACATTTTTAATTGTTTCACTCCATTGTTCGAACCATCCGTATACACTTTTATCAATTACCCCAGGCAAACGATTCACGTATGGATGATCTATCTTATACCTATGCTAAATCTAGTCCTTCTGTTGGACGTCGTGGTAGTCGGGCTATTTCTCGTCTTGGTACTAGACATATGAGTGATAGTTGGAAAGGGCTTCAACGTTATGGAATTGTTAGAGACAAGCTAAACGAATGCAACGGTAATTCGATTGTCTGTTTTTATCTTTACATTTTCATTATATTCATGTATGTGTGTGCCTGAGAATAAATTCGATAAAGTCCGTTTTCTCAAAAGATTCACCCACTTTTTTCACTAAAATAGGATAGTGTTTCACTCAATAGATATCAGTCATAGCATACATCACGCTATGAAGATGAATACAGGTGAAGGTATCATAAAACCTTAAGTACATGCTAATGGTACACATGAATTCAAGGTTACTGAAGGGATGAATAATTTATGAGCCTACGACATTGCTACTTGATATGATGAAAATTCATTTCTTTAGTGGATTGTTAATTGGATCATAGGTCTAAGGCGCTTCTAGATAAACACATGAAGAATGTCTCTACTTCGATTCGAACATTCAAACAGTATCATAGCTATTTTGCAAATAAAAATTACAGTAACATACCCCAGTTCTCTCTGTACCTATTTGTATTAGTATGCTGATCATGAATTTTCTTTTCTTTTATTTAAAAAAAAACAAAGAAAATCTATAACTAATTTTCATATACAGACTTGACTTAGTTGTATCACTATAATCAATTACCTGTTTAAACATATTTTTTGAACAGACCACCAATGTCTCTTGTCTAACTATCATGTGATTTCATCCCTAGATCACTATGCTAACGGGGTGATGGATGAATTTGCCAAGTTTTATTTTTGTCCCGTGCACTCGCTTCCTCAATATCGATGTATTAATCTGCTACACTTGCTTAGTAGTTTGTCTAGACTCAGTGGTCAACTAGTAGTCAATCGTAATTCGAAGTTTATTTTATCAATCTTGATCTTAATGTAACGTTTATAGGTAATATTAGAAAAAATGAGTGATCCGTCAAGCGACCCTGTGATCTTAATTCATCTGATCAATCAGAAGACAGCGAAGTCTGGTAAATTATTTATTATATTAAGACTAGGATTCATAACATACGTTTTAAGATCTTTGGATTATAGCTTTTGTCTTAACTCCTGAACTTAATTTCCAGCCATAATTTTAAAAATGCACCGTGACCTTGAAGCGGTTGTACGTTTATCATTGGCCCAGCGTTAGTTCCGCTCTGCCAATAAAATACTCCTAGCTTTGATGCATCTTATGCAAATGATTATGTTTTCTCATCGATTTGTATATGGTTTAAATATTGAGGCCTTATGTATGCTTCAATCTTCGTAATATGAAGTAATTGTTTGTTTTGTATGTATTCAATTATTGCCCCACACACCATTAGGACGTTACACAATAAGGTAGGTTCATGCAGTTATTGTGTTTGGTTGTGTTCTGTTATATAATTTTTTTATTCAACGAAATACTGCTCTAATAATAATGTGTTTTATACATTTTTACTTTTTGCATTTTTCGTACATTTGATGTTTGCTTGTGTGTTTGTGTACATGTATATGGAAAAAAGATTCTTGGGATGTCGATAATGAACCCGGTTTCCAGTTGAACGCTACTCCTATTACACCTACAATGAATGAGAAACACGAAGGGAAATTACTCGGAAATCGTAATACATTAAACGATCGGTTGAATACGTCGAATTTATTTTCATCATCGTCTCATCCGTCGACGTCATCAAACTCTTTATATCTTCATTCTTCGTTAGTAAACAATGATAGATCTTTGTCAGCTATATATGAGTCATCCATACAAAATCAATTCAGCTCTGACCGTAGTTCACCTTTATTATCTCAGTCGAAATTTGTTCGTTCGTCAGCTACACCAGCGAATTGGTCTCATTTAATGAATGTAAATCAGTCAAATGTTGGGACACAATCATCAACTACAGTCAATATGTCCATTTCATCAATGTCATCTTCATGTATAGTTTCATCATCATCTTCAATGGATTCGTGTCGAATATCAGAACAGCCCAACAACTTATCGTTACCTCGTCGCTACGATTCAAATGATTATGTTATGCATATAGAGGAGTTGTCGAAAAATCATGAAAGTAGTCCACAAATGTTTTCATCTGGTCGTCGTCCTAATACATCTAGACTGTCGAACTGTAGTGATACAATGAATCGTTATAATCCTCTGTCAGTACCTTCAGTTAGTTTTCATAACACTCCATCAATAAATAGTACAGTTGGTTCAATGGTCAACCCAGTTTTCAGTAATATCGATCAGCCAAATAATAATACTAATAATAGTCCCATAAATACATCCAATGTTAGTGATATAATGCGAATAGTCGATATTTCTAATACCGATAAATCCAACAATGGACGAGTGGTTGGTGATTTGCAAACATTTGTTAACCCTCAAACAGCTACTACGACTGTAACTTTCTTTGTATGTGAAGTATGCTCGTCACGCTATCGATCTACTGCAGGACTTCGTTATCATTACCATAGTCAACATTCAGGTTATACACCACAAAATCCTATATCTGCTTCAGCATCAAGACTTGTTGTACCGGTTGGTGAAGAAAGAGGTATTGGTGGAGGACTTCGTGGCGGACGACCTAGAAGACATCGAGGTATGTGGAAATTGATTTGATCCACTTGATTTTTGATGATTTTGTATAATTATACTAAAGTTTTATGTTCTCACTTTTGGCATTGTGTACCAAATCTGATCGTGGTACTTTTTAAAGATTCACATTATGGACGATTCTCTTTAGAATGACTAGTATTTTTATGGTTTCTTTTAGACTGAAAGCGAACTCGTTTAATCTCTCGGGGAATTGGTTATGCGATCTAGCTTTCACGCTATGCAAATGTACATCAATACTGAATAAGTAGATCTGTATAGCGTCCAAAATACTAGCCTCGATTATTATCAGGCCCATAACAAGGACTTATCAACTGCAAACACAAGAAAATCAGTCTGAATTTAGACTTTAGGTTTTAGAATACAGACATCCATTTCGGCGTCCGACAATGATGGCTTTTCTTGACCTTAAACCAGTATTTGATTCTGTAGACCGAGAGATTCTGTGGCAGTGTCTGTTATTGAAAGGCGTACACTATCAGTCGAGTCAGAGCTTATGGATTTTCGGTAATTGTTCTCTTTCCAGGAGGTGGACTTATCGATTTAGAATACTTAGCTGACATAGTCCTGTTTGGTGAAGATGCTGATAAAATTCAGAGTCTTTTGGTAGCACTGAGCAAAAATGCCAGAATGCTTGGGATGCGTTTCGTCTCTTCTAAATGCGAGTTGTTGCTCCAGGACTGGCCTTGTCAACACCTGAACTAGGGATAGGAAGTGAAGTAGTCGAACGCGTTGACAACGATGTGCAATGCTGAATAGTGTTGGGGATGGTTGGAAGTAAGTTAGGTGTGACCGAACCAAAACATGGCATCAGTCCCTGAAATCATTAACTTCTGGTCTGAGCCATGTTGGTAGATGCAGACTACTTGGTTGGGGTCTGCGTGACAATCGTAACCAATTGTTGGAGACTGTGGGTGACATGGCTCAGAATCGATCGCAATGGCGTCGGTGTATACACTCTGTCTTCCCTTAAACTATGAGATTAAAATCGCTTCATATCTTTCTTTCTATGAACTAATTCTTTCTTCCTGTACTATATCCATATTGCAATCTTCCTTTTATATATTACCACCTCTGAATTAACTACTTTTATGAATCCGGTGTCCATCTTGTTGTGTTAATGAGGTATGGCAACTTGGACCGATGCATAAATGTGCCTGGTCCTACGTTGTAGCTGACTGACTGACATGGTGAAAAGAGCAAGTACAAAGATTCTATCAGAATAGCATGAATTCATTTTATTTCGTAGGTTCTCGTCAGCTGCTTACAACTTGTGATATTTAAAAATCATGATTACATAATGGGTTTAAATTGCTAACTGAATATTGTAAATATATACCTAATGTGAAAGAATATTCTACAACAACCGTTCAAAAGTGGGTTAGAAACAATCGATTACATAATGAATAACATTGAAGGAATGTAGTGAGTAGAGTTCAGTTGAAAGATTATTAATTTGAAAGATAGTTGAAAAAATAAAATAGAGTCAATGATGTAATAAATGCAAAAGAAGAAAGGAAGGAATATTTGTCACCAGGGCAAGGAAAGATTAACCACCGTCTCCTTTTGAATACATAGGTCAGGTTTTTGACGCCTGATGGCAATGGCTTCAGCAAACTTCAGAAGACTGGAGTTTGGCTGCTTACTAATCACCCTAAAGGATTGTAAGGTATCTACTGACATGGCTCAGAATCGATCTTAATGGCGTCGGTATATACACTCTTTGTCTTTCTTTAAACTATGAGATTGAGATTGCTTTATATCTTTCTTTCCTCGAACTAATTCTTCCTTCCTGCATTATATCCTTATACACAATCTCTCTTTTATATATTACTTCTATGAATTTGGTGTTAATCTTGTGCTAATAAGGTGTGGCAAATTGGAACGATATATATGTTTGCCTGGTCCTACGTTGGAGACGACAGACTGAATGAGCTGTATCCGATAATGTATCACACGACTCCTATTTCTTGTATTACTGTTGTCACCACCAACTGTTCTTGTTCCTTTTTGTTGTGATAAAGGTTCGACTGCTTCGTCGAAATCACGTGATAAACTAGTGAACTCCCACTATCCTAACGAATATCAAATCTCTTCTGAACAAGATGACAGATCCAACAGTATCTTATCGTCACAATACTCTAGTAAGTTGAATATTTACTACTTTATTTCTTTATTTATTTGAATACATAGATATTGGTACAAAGAGGCATCAAATACATATGCGCCACACAAATCTCATTTCATTTGTGTGGGGGCTGTGATACTGCTCGGGTGCCCAAACAGAAGCAGGTGGTTTTCTTAGAGGGCCACACCTGGAGCCTTCGACTTAATGCTCTGATCCACAGGTCAGTGGAGCACCGTAAGGAGATGCGGTCTCATGGTAGCCGGTGACCAACGATTGGTTCATACGCCCTTTGTTCACTCAGGATACTGGAGCCCATGTGCACTATTGGTTTGGAATCAGAGTTTTCCAACTCCCCCGGGTGGATCCACCATATCCATCGACCCTGTCAAAGCGCCAGGATTTCGCTTTCCGGCCTCTCAGTTTCGTAAACAACAGTGATACCGCGAGAAAACAGTGAGTAGGAATTCCCTGGCAAAAGCTATATACGCGTGGTCATGTGGGAGAGCATTTGTAGAGGGGGGGGGCGGACTCTCCTCACTCTCGGCCGTACCAGGGCATTTTGGGGCATGATGGATAGTGGCTAACAGTGGAATTCAGGACGCACGTTTCTTCTTATTTGGGACTCGTCAGATGGATGTACCTGCATCCCAGAGTTGATGTTCACTCCAGGACTCGAACCCAGTACCGTTCGCTCCAAATACCATCGCGTTATCTACTTACCTACTGAATATTTACTACTGATTTTTTTTCTAAACTCATATGGTATTCACTTAGACTGGATTGATTGACAAATAATTTTTATGGTCATATAATGTCATGTTTGCACTGATGGAGACGTTGAACGTGTTTTATTCTGTTCATAGCTACCTGTTTGGTCCATTTTCTAGTTTTGCTGTAGAAGTATGAGCTAATATAGAGCGTTAATATTTTTTCGTTGTCATCGAGTACTTTGATTTATACTACAGTTTTACCAACGACATGTGTTATTGTCGATCATAATATCTATGTATATACTTAATGTATACCTGCCTATCTATTATGTTCATTTGTGACGAAGAGTATGACAACAATAGGATCTTGTTAAACAGGAAAGATATATGTTTTTAAAAAATCCATCAATATATCCAAAACATAAATTTCCTTTAAATTCGAAATCGTTTATTACTTGAGAAACATGATTAAAGTCTCTTACAAAGAGAGAAAGATATATTCAGAAAGTACAACAAATAATGAATTAAACATGCATAATATATTGCTTTAAATCGATTATACACAAGCGTTTTGATGAAACACACGTATATAGTGAATAGAAAGTCAAAGACGTATACCGTCATCAGAATGGGTTTTGTGGAGATTTTTAGAAATTTCACAGGTTGAAATCATGAGTCAATTGAAGCTAGACCACCATGGAAAACCTGGAAGCACTGGACGGTCGTTTCTTCTTAGTATGGGACTCCTCAGCAGTGCGCATCCATGATCCCGCACCCCGCGGGATTCGAACCCAGGATTTACTGGTTTCGCGCGCGAGAGCACTTGACCATTAAACCACTGAGCCGGCATCCAACGATGTTAATGCTGAGAAGTCCCATACTAGGACGAAACGACTGTTCAGTGCTTCCAGGTTTTCCATGGTGGTCTAGCTTCAATTGACTCATGATTTCAACCTGTGACATATACCGTTCACAAGAAACCTCTCATTTTACAACTATGGTCATATATAGATAGGCTATTCAGAAAAAGCAAATTAACTAAAGAATATGTATATCATAATTAATATTTTGATCACTATTTTTCATCTTTAATTATACAATACTTTTTCTATTTGAATATTCTTCTTCTTGATATAAAGAAATTACAAATCCTTATTCACCATCATCTCAAAATAACAAACGCGGACATAATAATATAAATCGTATAGATTGTAAAACAATCGACTCTAGATCAATTGTAGAGCCAAAGTTAATCGATCTAATTGCAGGTCAAACGGTTCCATTGAAATATCAAGAGAAAGTTCACGTTAATCATTTCAATTCCATAGAATCCGATAATGATAATAGCGAATTATTGATGAATAATAATAATAATAAGGATAATAATAATAATAGTTTACTAACCTCTGTGGAAATGAAAAAGTTGCCTTTTATGGATAATCATACTAGTGGCTCAGAACGTTTATCACAGTGTTCTATGCCTTCATCATGTTCACCAGCAATAACACCTGGTAAATTTGTAGATTCTACAGATTCAGTAGTTGTCGTCAGTGATTCATCATCATCGTCAAGATTTCAAATGACTGATTACACTAACTATAACAATACTACTATCAATAGTAGTAATAATTTACCCCATACAAATATTCATTCTGTACAACGCCACAACACTTTACAATCATCATCATTCAATTCTCCAATTTCACATCTGGGAAATAGCGTGATTGGTAATAAAATCCATTCACATATTCCCTATTCTCATCCTCATCATCACCATCCTTATTTGTCATCACAACAGCTACAATCATCTCCACAAAACAATTGGAATTCTCCGAATACAATATTTAATCAAATGCCCTATGGTTCCTCAAGTGTTCCCAGTAGTCATACTTCTTTTCCTCGGCTGCCACCACCACAACAGTCCCCAGCGACAATGAATCATGTAGGCCCACAGCAACGACGTTATGAAAGACAACACTGTCCAGATCGACTTGGTCTTACATGTCCATCTATTAATTCGTCCACATCTTCACGATTATTGTCGACGTCAACAGCATCCATGCCTATATGTGATTACTGTCTAGGTGATGATAATATGAATCCGCGAATTGGTCATCCAGAAGGTATGTTACAATGTTCTCGATGTGGGCATAGTGCACATTATACATGCCTACGTCTACCCCCGCATATAATTGATGCTGCAATGCGCTATCCATGGCAGTGTATTGAGTGTAAAACATGTTGGTTATGTGATCAAGATGATCATGAGGTACGTGTTTTATTTGAATAGTGTATCCTCGCATTCGCTTATGTATATATTACCACTTTAAATTCTTTTTGAATGTCAGTCAATTTTCTGTTTTTTATAACCAAGTGTTTCGATTTTTAAAGTTTCTCATCATAAACTGATTCCAACTAGACAACTATTACATACCACGAAGTATAAGATAGTTGCATCGTTCTAGTGTTGAACTCTTCATCAGTGCGCACCCACGACAGTATTAGGGATCGAATCCAAGATATTCAATTTTACCCGTAAATTCTCAACTTTCAGATCACTGAATTGGGTTTCAATGGTCTACAATTTTAAGTCCAGTTAATTTGTAAATTTGCAAATTCTAGTAAATGATCACCAGATATGTAACCTATTAACCAATTTTTCATATCCAAAGAAGAAAATTTCCTTTTCTGTGATCTAATTTACGCAAGATGTATAATTGTTTGCATTATTGATTTTACATATGTTCCTTGACAAATTTATCGAAAACAATCGAGTCTCTGAGTATCGGATGACGACACAACACCGTGTTATTATACACTACAATATGTAAAATCAATTTATGTATACTATGGCACAGATTGAGTAAGTAACTTGAACTAACAGAGAATTTTTTCCACTGAATCATATTTCTTTTGTCTAATTACACAATAATGTTTATTATTTTCATATTTAGTCAAACAATCTTGCTACTAATGTCGTCCCGACAGTACCTTCCTCACTACATATCTGTGGAGAACTTGACGTCTTGAATCCACCACTTTTGAAAAGTGCACGATGATATTAGAAAACTCAATAATAATATCACTGTGTGAATCAATCATTTTTTAATCAGTAAACTTAAGTAAAATTTGAATAAAGGTAGAAGAAGAATTAAAGCAGAATAATGTGGATTCTCTTTATTTTGTAACTTCTCCCTAGCTGCTTAAGACTGCTTTTGTGTATCATAATATTGAAATAATAGAGGGTGGAGAGAGTCCTCGCTCCTCGAAATGCTCTTTCATGGTCATGCATCTACAACCATTGCCAGGGAAGTCATAATTAATGCCTTCTCGTAGTGGGGTGATGTTTACGAAATTGAGAGGACGAAAAGTGAATGTTCGGCCCTTTAAACGGGTTGGTGGACACGGCGGGTCCACATAGGGTGGGGGATGGTGGAAAACCATGATTCCAACTAATGGTGCACATAGGCTCCAGGATGGTGATGGAACAAATGACTTATGAGTGAGTCTATTGTTGGTCACTGGCTATCATAAGATTGCATCTCCTAAAGTTGCTCGAAGAGTGGGCGCCTAATAAAACCACCTGTTTCTGTTTGAACTTCTAAGTAGTGTGCCAGCATATGTATTTGGTGCTTACTTGTACTAATGTTTATGTTCTTAAATAATTACATATATATATATATATATATATATATATATATATATATATATATATATATATATATATATATATAGTGAATTTCCATCTTTTCATATATTATAGGATCGAATGATTTTTTGTTGGGATTGTGATCGTGTATTTCATGCACTTTGTATCCCAACTCGATTACCTCGTACCCTTGATGCCCATTGGACCTGTGATATTTGTTTGCATGAAATATATAATAATAATAATAACAATAATAGATCTATATTTGATCAACGTACACATACTAATTCTGGTTATGAAGTTTATGCAAATAATACTTGTAATACTAATATTAGCAGTAATAATACTAATACTACTACTACTGATAATAATAATAGTAATAATGACAGGAATAGTAACAATAATGATAATAATAGTTTTAATCAAATGATGAATACTGGCAATGGTTATTTTACTCATAATGTACAGCATCATACACAAAATACTGCACGTTCATAATGATTCATATATTCACTTTTAAATGTTAATATTGTCCTGTACAATTGCTCATTTTTAATTTTAATGAATTAGAAAAAGAAAGAAAAGAGAATACATAAATAATGATTTTTAGTTTTGTTCTTTTTTCTCTTCTTTTTTTTTTAAAAAAATGTTTTTTATTTATTTTAACTTTGTTTATTGTTTTATTCTTTGTTGTGCTCCTTTTCTCTCTTTTCTTTTTGTTTTCTCCCTCCCTCCCTTCATCTCATTATCATTGATCAATATTGACTGTTATTCATATTGTGTATATCAGCTTTAATGTTTTTTACAGTGATATATATATCTATATCTATGTAAATGTATATTGAACAAGTGTGAAATTCTGTTTATCTATGCATTTCATACATGTGCATTATTGTAATTTGTTTATCAATATGGTTTATAAGAAGAGAAAAATCAAGCGTTTCATTTACTTAGTTACAATAGGCTCTACTTGAAATTATATATATATATATATGTTAGAGTATGTAATATGTACGTATGTTTAATAACATTGTGATTATTTGTTTTATTTCTTTTCTTTCCGTTGATTATTTCTTGTGTTGTTAACTTTAAACAACAAGAAAAAAGTTTGTAACCAAAATGTTGGCATCATAAACTGAATAGTTTTTCGTGACTTATTTATTAGTTGAATGAAATTTGGTCATTCTTGTCTCTCTCTCTCTCACACACACACATCTTCTTTTATTGTTATTATTATTATTGTTTAGGTGTCAAATTTGTTGTTTGTGCTCAATTCTAATGATAATATTAATGACTGTTAATTATTATTTATTTATTGTGGATCAGTCAATCTATCACACTCCTCCTTAATAAGTAACTTTTTTTTTGTAGTGCAATCTATTGTTAGGCAAATATTTAGGGATAGGGATACTTAAATTAAGTTATACAATGAATCCTAATGACTAATTACATGCACATCAATTCTGTGTAATAATTAGTTACTTTTTTTGTTTCTTCTTCTTTTCTGTTCTGTTCTCGATGTTGCTTTTGATGTTGTCTGTCACAGTTAGTTCAATTAATTTAATCATTATATTCTGATAACTTATTTTTCTTCAGTGTATTTTCTTTTCTCTTTTTTTTTTTCATTTTTTATTTATGTATTGTTATTATTAATTTGCATTACAACTTAAACGATTCATTTTAATCTTGTTTTCGTCTCTACTCCTCCCCTATGAAATATTTAGTGATATTTTGTTGACATGAACTTTTGCAATTTGTGTGTAAATGTTATACTATTGTGGTGTCAGGCGCCGGTTGTTATATTTCAAAAGCTATAAAAGCCTATATACACAAAGCAGTTGAATTGATACACATTACATAAATATATACATATTCCACATAATATGCATAAAAATCAATGAATGGATCTTCATTTCGTTTCATATTATTATTACTTCTATGATTATCTTTTTATCATATTCACTTTGAAAGAAAGCACAACAGAAATATAATGTTTCTTTTGTTTCCCAAACTCTACTTTGATTTGCAATAAAGAATTATTTGTTTTTTCTAGGTGCTTTTTTTTGTTGAGAGATGTCCTAATTTAAAGTGTTCTGATGTTTTCGAGTTAGTGAGTATTTTTGTTTGAACAGTGGTTACATGGGTTATGTGACATGGAATTATTCAGTGATATTTTTTTAAAATCGTCAACAAGGTGTATTGTCTCTAGTCGTGGATGGCTTATTCGTACAAAAACCCAACATTTCAATGTTTAAATATAGGGCTATTGAAGGTGATCGGCAAAAGAGCAATAACGTTCACAAGTTTACATATACTTTTTTCTGACGAGTGTGATCCTAGGTTCAGGGTCTTCAACGTCTAACCACCCAGCACCAAAATATAATGCACACAATGCCGATGTAGTTTGTTACCACATTGTAAATCGAACGGTAATCCCTTGGTATCTTTATACAGGATAATACTCGTAATTGTTGTCCAATTGGATTTGTTCAAATCATACTATCACATTTTAACTGACTGAACTTACATGTAAGATCTGATCAGACCTTCAAGTAGCTTGGTCTCGGCTTATTCATTTGGTGTTATCCGTCAATTAAGACATTGCCTTTCACTGTTTAAATGAATCTCTTTCTGCAGTGTATGTTTACTATAGTTAACTGGTGTTAAGCCTGTATGTCAAATGTTAACTTCACCAAACAGTGATGAATTGACAAAAATTGTGTTTCAAAATGACTTTCAATTACGGTTATTTTTATCAAATGTTTTGCTTGTGTCATGCTGCTGAAGTAATAACGAAATGTATTGCGCAAATATATAATTCTGATAAACTTCATCTTCTTATTGTATTATCGAAATTTATCAAAAGGACAAATTGTTTTAATATCACTCATCGGAGCTTGGTATTAATAATTTGATTTCGCATATGATTATTAATAGACTACACTAATCGTAAGAAATCACAATCTAACGTAAAAACCACATTACGATTATCTACTAAAACATTCGGGTATTTATTTCCGATATCTGCGATAGATTCCAAGTATTCTTAGTATAAGAAAAAGAAACAATTCAAAGTAGTGAAATTTCATCAATTGCAAATCTTCATTTATTTTCATTGCGAAATGATCCAAACATAACGAAAGACAAAATAAATTAGATGTGATTTTTTTCTTGTGTCTTTTCATAGTAACTTTGTGTTTTTCTTAAAAAAAGAAGAAACATTAAAATTGTATGTTTAAAAATAATTATGATTAGTAAAGAATGATTAAAAGGTGTAACAAGATAATCAATATCACTCTCTCTATAAACATACACTACAAAAGTAGAAATTGATAATATAAAGAGAACAAGTGATAGATATATGTACAATTTCATAAACAATAACAAAATATAATGAATAAAGCTATTACATAAACTCTCTTAATGGATCCCATCGTTCATCAGTTAGATCTTCATCTTCCTCTTCTTCGTCATCATCTTCATCATTTTCTAGGTCACCGGAATCTTCACCAATTGATACATCAGAGACTGGACCTATTACATCTTCATCATCTGCACTGGATTGATTTATATCTTCTGGACTATCATCGGCACCAAATAGACATCGTGTTAAATTACCATGACCTCTTTTTTGATAAGCTATATTATTTTCATATTTACATGATTCATATCTATCACGTCGAGAATCATACAGTATTTCTCGAGTACGTTCAGCATCAGCATAATCATAACCTTCAGGGCAAGTGTTCCATTCTTTATTTTCTGCATCTTCTGTATCTTGTATCCACCAATTAGTATTCGGTTCAGGATCAGAGTGTATTGCTGGAGAGACAGATAAACGACTACATTTATGATGATGTGAACCAATAAGCCAACGTTTATGACTTGAAAAGCGATGTTTAGGAACTTTGTCAATGTGCTCGTCAGGGCCCAACCCTAAAAAGAGAATACACATTTATTCCATGAAGTGAATTTATCTTGGAAATCATAAGATTGATTAGAGAAAAAAAATACACTGGTGATTAGAAAATTAATAGTTTGACCAAATGTCACAGACAAGAATGTCATACCTCATTCTGTCAAATAAGACTTGAAGTCTTAATGTTTCTAAGAGAGTTAATGATGTGATTTGGTAGCCAAGTACACAACTTCGTGTATTGGTTTAGTGTGAAAACTAGAAAATAAATGGACTATTTGAACGGACATATTCTGTTACAAATAACTTCAGAGGCATGAGTATGAGAGTACTTACAGCAGAATTCAAATAGCGAGTACCAGCACATTAAAAAAGGGATGTTTATCAAGATACTGAAGAAAAGAGATCTTAGTAAGTGTGACAACTCAAGAGAAATCACACTATTTTCAGAACTAGGTAAAGTTTTAACAGGATGTCGCTGAACCAAAAAAATAATTAAGTAAACACACAACTTCGGGATCAACATGCTGGTGGTTTACGTAAGGATCGGTTACGTACCGACCAAATCACGATAATCCAGTTAACTGTTGAGCAATCAGCTCGACGGAACTTATCACTATACATCAACTTAATGATGAGAAACCATTCAACAGCATGATTTTGAGAACTTTAGAATGTTCTTCAAGACTATGGACTATTTCAGGAAATCGTCGCTATCATTGAGAACTTTTACTACGAACTAGATTGTCAAGTCATGTATGAAGAGCAGCTCACAAATGTATGGTGCTAGACAATTGTGCCCACTGCAGAATAACAATGAAATCTTTGCAATTAGACTTTCTAGCTTCCAGAACTTAACAACATCCAAAGCATCTGTCTGAATTGCTAAAAGAAATTTTCACTATTTCAATGTTTAATGCACACCAAACGATATAGAGTATGCAATTTAAGTTATTCACAATAAAATAATCTTATCTATTTGTTTTTTTTACTTTTGGATAATCAGCATCGTATGAATCACAATCGCTGTCCGATTCATTAAAAAAATTATCATTATCACTGTTAATTGATTTCATTGATCCAAACATTAAATCATCGCATGAACGTCGACGTCGACTTTCCCTACGGAAACGTTGATCTAAACGGCGAATTTCACGGTCAATTTTTGTAGTTTCTACAGGAGATGCACGATGACGTCTACGTACTAGTAATTCCCTTTGTACCTGAATAAAATGTGAAATAAGATAGAAAGGTAAAATAAACGTATTTGATGTGAATTTTCGCCATAAATTTATATCAACTTAGAAAAGTATTTAAATTAGAAGGTATCTTTGTATGGACATTTTATGAGAGACTAATAGGTCCTGGGTTCGAATCTCGCGAGGCGGGATCATGGGTGCGCACTGCTGAGTGGTTCCACAATAGGAAGAAACGGCCGTCCAGTGCTTCCAGGTTTTCCATGGTGGTCTAGTTTCAATCGACTCATGATCTCAACTATTGAAATTACTATAATATCTACAAAAACCCTTCTGATATAAATACCTGAGTTTCAATTAGAATGAAACAGCTACCAATCGTTTTAGAATGATAACACGGATAATAACAGTTCAAGAAGAAACGTTATTTCTACTGAAAAAAGATCCTCCAAATTGATAACTGATGGGAACATGTTAGCTGAAAATTTTACATCAAGATAATGAATTTTAAGAAGTAAGAGTTTAATTTTAGAAAATGGTAAGTAAACAATCTACAAAACTCGTGTCTTATGATTGTTTATTTCTAAAAAAAAATGACTTTTAGTCTTAGATAGATGTTAATCATTTATCTAACTGGACAGTCAGTCAGTTAGCTACAACGTAGGAACAGGCACATATATGCATCGTTCCAAGTTGTCATACCTTATTAGCATAGCAAGACGAACACCGGGTTCATAGAAGTAGTTAACTCAATAGTGTAAGGTTATGATACAGGGAGAAAGAATTAGTTCGTAGAAAGAAAAATATATGAAGCGAGAGAGTTATGACAATTTAATGCTGTGGAAGACTGAAAACTCTTTAAATACTTAACTATAATTATCTTCAAGAACATTGTTCATGTATGATGAAGTCACCAGAGAAAATATTGCTGAGATGGTTTATATATACAGTCATCTTTGCTTAGACAAAAAAACAAAATTAAATGATAAATAAATAAACATATTTGTAATATCCTCCTAATGAGTAAAAAACAAATAGATTTTCTGACTTTTCGTGACTCAGTGTAAGTTACTTCTTCAGAGAATAAATAACCAGATTAAAATTAATCCAAGTTTAAGTTCATTTTTATTTGGTTATTTATTATTCTCTGAAGAAGTGGTTTACATTGAATTACGAAACATCAGATAAATCTAACTTTTCTACTTATTAGGATATCTACAAATATATTAATTAATTTATTTATGACGATCTACCCAATGCTCAATTTATTCGAAATTATCAAGTCATACCTTGGTAATGATACCTGAAAATTAGATGAGTTTATTGATATCTATCAGTCAGTCAGCTACAACGTAGGACCAGGCACATATGTGCATCGGTCTAGGTTTCCATAACACATTAACACCGAATTCATAGAAGTAGTTAATTCAGTGATTGTGGTGGAAATGATTAGAGCATATATCTTATCAGCTATATGTTGTTTTTTCATGTGGTGTAGCAATAAATAAGCCTAAAAGACATTAATTCCATTGGAGAGTGAATAATGTATAGTTTCCATATCCTCTAATCGTTTATTTCTTAAATGACTTTTAGTCATATCTATTCATGTAATAATAAATATTTTGTATATCAAAATGGGTTTTGTGGAGAGTTTTAGAAATTTCACAGGTTGAAATCATGAGTCAGTTGAAGCTAGACCACCATTGAAAACCTGGAAGCACTGGACGGCCGTTTCGTCCTGGTATAGGACTCCTTAGCAGTGCGCATTCACGATCCTGCACCACGCGGGGCTCGAACCCAGGACCTACTGGCTTCGCGCGCGAGCACTTAACCACTAGACCACTGAGCCGGGATCGTGGATGCGCACTGCTGAGGAGTTCCATACCAGGACGAAACGGCCGTCCAGTGCTTCCAGGTTTTCAATGGTGGTCTAGCTTCAACTGACTCATGATTTCAACCTGTGAAATTTCTAAAACTCTCCACAAAACTCATTCTGATAATAATCAACTGCTCACTAGTGACTGACTTCAGGAAAAACTCCTGGAGTTCTAGTGAGAAGCCGTTACCAGTGGAGTTCAACCGGTCTGTTGTGAGATAACAACTCGCTGAAGACAATGGTGTACGGTGGCGCGACTTCGTGGATTGGTTGAAGTTAGACATTAACACCGTTGGATGCCGGCTCAGTGGTCTAGTGCTCGCGCGCGAAGCCAGTAGGTCCTGGGTTCGAGCCCCGCGTGGTGCGGGGTCGTGGATGCGCACTGCTGAGGAGTCCCATATCTTGTATATATATAAGCATGTTATTTTATTAAAGAATAGAACATATTCCTACTGAGAAGTTATGTTGTTTTCTGATATCAAATTTAACTTGGAGCTGAGATCGATAATTTGATCTTGTTTTGATCAACCGTCACTTGACTATATCATAAGTAGCTGCAGGTCATCTCTATCAATAATCAATATTATATTGCTACGTTATAACAAACAAAAATTCGTTCATCCTACTTTATATAAAATCTTTCTTTAATAATACAATATAAGTTGGGGTATAATGATGATCAGTCAGTCAGTAACAACGTAGAACTTCGTACGTACGTACATCAATTCGAGTTGCCACACCACATTAGCACAGAGATGCAGTGGTCGATTCAAATCCCGTAGTGGTAGAGGTAATAGGAGTATAAGCAGTAATCGGAAACATTAGGGTTTGGAGATGTTATTTAAAGAGTATAATACAGTGAAATAAATTTGGGAAGAGAAAAAAGACAAGGAGGAATAAGGAGATCAAAATTTGGGAGAACACAAAGAGTGGATGCACCTGCGCTATTGCAAACGATTTTGAGCCATGTCATACAGCTTTCTTCCAACCTACTCCCATACACCATAAAACATCGCACGTCGGGGTATTCGGTGGTTGGGTATACGTAACACGTGTCCCAGACATCTCAACTGATGAAGTTTCACTACTTCATCAATTGATTTGCCATCCTTACCTAGTACCTGTTTCCTAGCAACTACATTACTTACTCGGTGGTCCCAGGATATATGAGCAATGTTTAGAAGAAACCTATGATCGAATACTATGATGGGAAACAAGTTATATTGGCTTAAACATTCAATATTTCAGTACATTTAAAGATCTTCAAGTAAAAATATTTCCAAATTTGTATAATAAATGATCAAGAGGATAAGTTTGAATGATCCTTAATGTTATGCACAATTATTGTTTTGGATTTTCTAATCAACATTAAACTGAATCTTTCAATTACTTACCTGCCAATTTAATGTTCTACGATCACATTCCATTGGATTTTTAATTAATTCATTAGTTGTATTATGAGATTTATGAAATTTAGTTAATTCAATAACAGATGTTTGATTGTCTGATGAAGAATCTGTTGATGAAGAATCATTAAAATTATCTATAGCTGGATCATAGATTTCAGCTTCTCGAGGAACTGATGTAGCTCTTTCAGTTACTTCTTCAAGAACAGCATCTTCAATTTCAGCGAGCATTTTACCAGTTGCCTATATAATGTTCATTTTGTGAAAAGAAAAGCAAAATGGTATATATATATGCATATAACAGACAACCTACTATTCCTACCCGCCCGCCCCACCAACCTAACATTTACATAATAATATACAAACCAGTAGAGTTCGTTCATCAGAAACTTTATAGGACATAACATAGAAAATCAATTGAAAATGGTGTCAAAGAGCAGTTAATATCTTATTACTCGTGTAATAACACTCGGTTTTACTTCATCTAATGTTATAACTGTTGGTCTTCCACGTTTACATGTATGGGACGTTAATTTACTTTAGACGAATATCTACACTAGATTCCATCCCAGTGTCTATTTTACAGGACTTCAACACAACTCAGATGATCAAGAACACGTGATTAGCCTGACCACAACGTAAATATATTTCCACACCAAAAGCCGGCACAATCTAACAACAATGAACAATCATTAATAAGTGAGTAATAATGAGAATAGGGGAATATATAATTGATCTGACACCTGTCAGACTATCTACATGTCTGACTAAGCAGACACCTAATCATTATCATCCACACCCACACATCAACTCGCTAACTTATCAACAAATAATTTAGTTTTGTTTAAAATCAATCCAACTATAAGCCATACCTTTCCACTTGGTATTGTTTTACTTGAATCTTCCCATTGATGTTTGAGACTGCGATTGATCAGTCTCTTATTGGCATATGTGAATACTGTGCTTATTGTCTCGATATTGCTTTAACTTACATCCAGCTGACGAGTCCCAAATAAGACGAAACGCGCGTCCTGGATTTCACTACTAGCCGCTATCCATGTTTGCTTATAATGCTTGTAAATTAAGGCAATACACACAGTATGCACATATGACAATAAGAGACTGATCAACTGCAGTCCTAAACATCAATGGGAAGATTCAAGTAAAGCAATACCAAGTGAATTAAACTTCACCTCATTGCACAAGCAAGTGGCTATCAGGATTCAGTAGCTAAGTGGATAACGCGATGGCGTTTGAAGCGGACGGTACTGGGTTCGAATCCCACAGTGAACATCGACTCTGAGATGGAGGTACATCCAGCCGACGAGTCCCAAATAGGACGAAACACGCGTCCTGGATTCCTCTGCTAGTTACCATCCATCCAATTTTCAATGAAGTTCCATTCCATAATAAAAATACGACTTAACCAGTAAGCTATCAATTCAATAATTTTGAACAATATGAATTGTATACATAATTTGTGTCTGTCCAATTTATAATTTACATCGTGAAATCAGTTTAGCTAGAGAGTATTGAATAGTTGTATCGTCACTTCATCAATCGGTCAAGGATTGATTTTATGACTTTTAGACCTTTCAGGAAATAAATTAACTTGAAGTTACCGATATGGAATCTCGTAGGAAAGCTTTTCCACACTGACCAATTCATGATATTACGTAACTATTTAAACAAATTATTATTTGTGGTTTACAATATCTGTGAATGTTTTTTTATAATACAGGTAAGTACAAGCTACAACTCTGTACTGTTAAAACTATGAAATTGAGTTACAGAAAACGTTTTCCTGAATAAAATGACCTACATCTGGAGGTAAGTGCATCAAAGGATTATCTGCCAATACTAAAGTTGTTGGAGGTGGTAAAAAGTCACTGAGTTGAGCTTTAACTTCTTCTTCTCCTTCAATTTGTTCATTGGTTAAATCGGAATGCTCATCCTCTTCACCATCACCGTCATTAACATCTTCGTCATCCCCATTGAACTGTTCTGTGTTTCCTGTACCTTCTCTCTCTTCTTCATCATCGTTTAATTCTATGAGATTTCTTGTTGTTGTATATTCATTGAAATCTTGATCTCCTTCATCTTTAATTTCTGTCACATAATGATCAACTACTACTGGACTTTTCATTAGTAACTTGTCAGAATTACATAATAATGATGAAGTTGATTTACATAGATCACAATTTATAATACTATTATTTTGACAAATTTCACTATGATCGCATAATGATTCATCAAATAAACATGCTAATTTTGAATTTTCTGTGGATGATGATGATGAATTATTTGGTTGTCTCTCATGATGATCAAGATCTGATTCTATAGAGGAATCAGATTTCAATGATGGTGATGACGAAGAAGATGAAGAACTTTCATTTCCGGACATTATTCCACCCTGATCATTTATAGTTACTAAATTATGCGTAAAACAAATAAATAAACGAGAATAATAATAAAGCAGAGTTCCCGGTAAACGAAATTGTCAGTAGTAAACAATGTATAACACGGAACATATGTACATCGGTTCAAGTTGCTACACTATTTCAAGACTAAGGTCAGAATAGTCGAAGTATTAACAATATCAATGATGATAAAAAAGATTAAGGACGGACAATGTTTATTTGTGAAGAAATAATGAATTCATGAAATTAAAATTATAAGACAAGTTTAAAAATCAAGATTTAATGAGAAGACATAATGAATACGTCTGTATCATTGCTAACGATTCTGAACCGTGTCATTGAGTATTTTTCACTATATCAAAGTCTTGATAGTTTGATTTTAGATCATCTTTTACATGTTAGATATGATAAAGATCCAATGCGGAGGTTCACAATAATCAGTTGAATTCTACTCTACTATGACTCATGAAATCTGTAACAATCGATGGAGACTAGAACCAGTTATGTTTAAAAAGAGTCAGTAGTTAACTCTCAACTATTTTGATAACAAAATAGAAATTATGTGAAGAACTTAATATTTAAAAAACTATAGTTTTAATTAGTCATAAAAGATCTACTGATTAAAACTCCCATACTCAATTTATTTACTAAATTTTAATAGTTGAGATCATGAGTCAATTGAAGGCAGATCACTATGGAAAACCTGGAAGCACTGGACGACCGCTTCGTCCTCGTATGGGACTCATCGGCAGTGCATATCCACAATTCCAAATCGCGGGACTCGAATCTAGGAATGGGGTTAAACCGGTTCTGTTGTGAGATAGTAACTAATTGAAGACAATGGTGGATGTATCGCTCAATTTCGTGGATTAGTTGAAATTAGACATTAACACCGTTGGACGCCGATCGGCTTAGTGGTCTAGAGGTTAAGCGTTCACGAGCGAAACCGACAGGTCTTGGGTTAGAATCCCGCTTGTGGGATCGTGGGTGTGCATTGCTGAGGAGTCCCATACGAGGACGAAACGACCGTCCAGTACATCCATGTTTTTCATGGTGGTTTAGGTTCAATTAACTAATAATCTCAACTATTAAAATTACTATAATATCCATAAAACCCGCTTCTGATATTAACTAAATAATTCACGCTTCCCTAATGAACATACATAAATTGTGTAGGAAAATGTTAATATTTTGAAACAATTAAATATAAATGACGAATAAACCAATAAGTAGGTACAATGAGTTCATTTCATTTTTTAAATAGTGTCATTTTTTTATATTTTGGATTGATATTATAAATGGATCAATGTTAGGCCATCATTGAAAACTTGGAAGCACTGGACGATCACTTCATCCTAGTATGGGACTCCTCAGCAGACAGCCCGTTTGCCACCCTCAAGGTCAAATAGTAGGTCGGAAATTGAAAACAAGGCAGGGAAAGATGATCTTGCAAAGCTCACGTTATTAATCAGTTTGCCAATTAAATCTTCCTACTCATATTGGTTCTCTTATTCTCCGAGTGGGTCTAGCTAACTTCAAAATGCATAGTCTTCATAAGGTTGCATACTAATAAACATTTATCTATGTACATAGCATATATAATTAATTTCTTACCATTATCAATTAATGAAATATTCTTCACTTTTGCGTTTTCATGATGAGATAAATCTCGACGGTGTCGTTTATAATGTCTCTTAGTTTTTGATTTCTTTCTCAATTTACGTTTTCGATCGTTTTCTCGTTCTGTACGAATAGAATCTAAAGCGGATCGGACTACACTTGGATCTAGACGAGGTATTTTCTGTTCACTAAATACATGATATCAGAGGAAAAAAGGACAATGATTGTTAGAAAAATTATACTTCATTTGAACAAAATAACTTACATAGTTCTGTCCGTCTAATGACTTATTTTTCTAAAAAGCGACAAACTATAAGTATCTTATTATGTGCTAATATATTAATTTTCTTTGAATTAGTCGAATGAATAGTGAAAACGTGAACCAACTACTTACTATTGAGGTTAAGTCAGTAACAAATCCAGCTAGGATTAAAAAAGTTCCAACTTATTCCATCAGTAGTAAAGACAAGATAAATAAATATCAAGAGCCGATTATGTGGTCTTAATGATTCATTAATTTAGTGATAAACGATGGATACTAAATGCAAGTTTCAATGTAAACATTAACACTAAGATGTATATGTACGTCTAATCAAAGTGGTAAATAGAATGAAACATGCATTTCGAACTTTAGTGCTAAACACTACCATCGACTCTGTGAATTTAGGGACTATCAAATCGGATCTTGTATTATTTTACTACAGTTTTATCGTTAAGGTGGGCATTATTTTCAGTGACGAATTTTAGTGTGTACCTGTTATTTATTTCTCACATTACTTTGTTGCTGAAATGTCATGTTATCCAAACTAATTGTTATACATTGTAATGAAGTAAATAGCATGAGTCTTGTACCATAAATTCACCTGTACCTCTTCTAGGGCTACTGCCGGTCCCAAGCACTCAAGAAGGAGGAGGATTGGGCATGGGGTCGCTAACCCCATCGCGTAAAAACAACCTTGCTAAATAAACGCTAGTTAGAAAAAAATAAACAATCTAAACTCTTGACTCCGAGTTGAAGGAAGAATTATGACGACTCATGATATAGAGCCTAGATCCTTCGGAAGTCGCGAGGCCGATGCCTCTCCTAACAACAACAGCGACAATGTTTATAAACACATGGAACGTCCGGACAATATAGGAGACCGAGAGAACCAATCAAATAGCTGCGTAAATAGGGATATACAACTTGACGGTGCTCGGAATCAGTGAAACCCATTGTACCCAAGCTGAACAGCAAAATCTACATACGGGAGAAATGCTGCTGTAATCCGGTCACGAAGAAAACGCTCCACACACTCAAGGAGTTGTAATCATGCTGTCCAGAGAAGCACTTGATGCACTTATAGGATGGGAGTCTCATGGATCAAAAATCGTCAAAGCATCCTTCAAAATAAAGAGGGAGGGGATCACAATGAATGTTATCCAACAGCAACAACGATAATAAAGATCAGTTCTATGAGAGGCTGAAATAGATCATAGCGAGGTGTCCAAGAATGGACCTGATCATCCTGTTGAAAGACTTAAACGCGAAAGTCGGAATGGACAACATCGGGAATGAAGATATCATGAAACGACATGGACTAGGAGAAAGGAACGAGAATGGTGATAGATTTGCAAGTTTATAAGCCTTCAACAAAATGGTTATAGGCGACTCAATATTCCCACGCAAACGCAGAGATGAAGCTACATGTGTATCACCGGATCACACTACACAGAACCAGATCGATCATATCTGCATCACTAAAAATTCAGAAGGTCAATGGAAGACGTGAGAAGCAGGAATGGAGTTGACATAGCTTCGGATCACCACCAACTGTTGGTTTTCATGATGAAACTGAAGCTAAAGAAGTACTAGACAAATGGAGAAACAGCATTACAAAGGTTCAATACAACCTTTCTCCCAGATACTGACAAACTTAACGAATTCAAGATAAATCAACGACAGGTTCCAAAACTTAAAGGATCTACTGGAAGAAGAAACTACTATGGAAGATAATTGAAAAAGGATCAAAGAAGCCTTAACTTCAACGTGTCAGAAGGTTCTGGGCCGCAACAAACATCATCATAAGGAATGGATCTCTATGGAAATCCTGGACAAGACTCAAACAGGGAAGAACAGGAAGACATCAACCAATAACAGCCGAACAAGAACAGAGAAAGTCAAGGCAAAAGATGAATACATAGATGTGAACAAGCCAGTGACGAGCATTGGAATTGACAAGCACAAATACGTGGAAGAGCTGGCGACGACAATTGGAAAAGCTTCAAGAGAAGGAGATATGAGACAACTATGTGACACAATGACGAAACTGGAAAGGGAATATAGTAAACCAGAGAGACTGGTCAAGGATAAAGAAGGCAAGCCAATCTCCGGCATTCAAGAACAGGAGAGCACATGGGTAGAATACTTTGAGGAACTCTTGAATAGACCAGATCCACTGAAAGCATTCGACAGTGTGGATAGGAGGACTTTATGGAAGCTTCACACAGAATTCATACGACCGACCACACTGCAAAGTCGTGTATAGAGGACAGCTGACAGATGCATTCCATATGAGGACCAGAGTCAGACAAGGCTGTCTACTCTCTCCCGTTTTCTCCTGGTGGTCGACTGGATTATGAAAACCTCCACATCTGACGGGAAGCACAGAATACTATGTACAGCTCGGAATCAACTAAACAATCTAGACTTCGTAGATGACCTAGCCCTCCTATCCCATACACATCAACAAATCCAGGTCAAGAAACACAGTGCTGCAGCAGCAGCCTCTGCATCAGTAGGTCTCAACATACACAATGGAAAAATGAAGATCCTCAAATGTAACACATAGAACACCTACCCAATCACACTTAATGGAGAAACTGTGGAACAGGTGGAAATTTCCACATACCAGGACAGCATCATAGACGAACAAGGATATCTAATGCAGACGTAAAGGAGAGAATTGGCAACGCTGGGGAAACATTGGAATTCAAAACAATTATTAACTAATATCAAAGTCAGAATCTTCAATAGGAACGTCGAGACACTCAGTCATACTGTACGGAGCTGAAAATTGGAGAACTACTACAGCCCTCATCAAACAAGTATAAGTATTCATAAACAGTTGTCTACGCAAGATACTCAATGTCCGCCTTTGGACGGATACCATCAGCAACAGACTAATGTGGGAGAGAACAAACCAGATTCCTGATGAGGAGGGAGTTAAGAAAAGACTATCGAAGTGGATAGGGTATACATTATGGAAATCACTAAACTGCATTACGAAGCAAGCGCTTACTACCTGAAATCGTGAAGGGAAACGGAAAAGAGGAAGACCAAAGAAAACACTGCATCGAGAATTGGAAGCAGACACGCAAAGAATCGATAGAATCTGGAAAGGATTGTTCAGGACAGAGTTGAATGGAGAATGCCGGTGAGCGGCCTATCTATTCCATGAGGGGTAACAGACGTAAGTAAGTCTTGTACCATATACACACGAGTGATCATTACCGAAATATTACCAAACTAGAGAAAAATAGTAGTTGAATGCACTCAGTGTTGATGTAACTTATAAGGCACAAATCTATATAATTGGTTTCGAGTCACACTCTAAATATGAAGTCTAGCGATGTTAACGGTTTATCCAAACCGAAGTAGATTAAAAGTAGTTCAAACCTGAGACTTAATAGCTGAAAGTTTGACAATTTAATCACAGAGCTACCAAGCCATTCAAGTTCTCAATGAGTTTTCAGCTGAAATCGATTTGCGTTGCAAACCATATTAAGTTTAACTTTAATTAATTAGTAAACTGTTCATAACGAATTATTATCTAACAACTGATACTTAACTTTTTTCTCGTCTATGTATATATAGTTTGATCACAATGTTGTATATATCGCCTACTGAAGAATCCAGTAAACATCATATGAAGATGATCTATATATGACAAGATAGATAAAGATCAAGTTCCATAACTTACATGATTCACTATATTAACCTACTATTTAAATATATGTGTGTAGATCCAATACAACATACCACCACCTATAATAAAGTCGCTACTATTTATTCATAAAAGTATGTTAAAATTAACGAAATAGAAAATTTACGTGTTTTACGTGAAATACATATTGAAAACCCACATGTCATCACTCATATCAGAAGACGGTTCTAATTCCATAGATAATCGATGATGTTTATGTGAATGCTTATGATAATGTTTATCTTGAAGATGAGTATGATGTTGAGAATGACGATGGTGGTGATGACGACTATGACCGTGGCGATGATGACGTGGACGATTATCATTATGCGTAGAATGATGATGAAGTCCATCAGAAGGATTAATATGGGAATGATGGTGATGATAATAGTGCCGTCGCATACGTTTTGCATATCGAATTGTACCTGGAATCGGTTCAATATCCGGATCAAAATCACTTGGATGAAAATCACGATCTAATGGATACTTTGATTCACATACATGATCCCAATGATAATGACAAGACCATAACCATTGCGGTGAAACAAGATGAAGTGAATGTGAAGATGAATTATTGTTTAATTGAAGATTATTACTATCTATTGTAAGATATTTTAATGCAGCATGTACTTTTTCTGTTCCTCTACGACAAGCAATTAAATGTGTTGTATAGTGAGTAGAAACACTATGCACAATACCATGTGATCTAAAGAAAATTTTATTAAATACAAAACAAGTAAGGCGTACAAATATTTGCAAGGAATAACACGTTTCTTTTAAAAAGGTAATATATTAACTAATCAATCTTTCTTTTATATATTATTACCATTGAAGTAACTAATTCCATGAATTCGGTGTTCATCTTGTTGTGCTAATGAGGTGTGGCAACTTGGACCGATGCATGTATGTGCCTGGTCCTACGTCGTAGCTGACTGACTGACATTAACTAATACTAATTAACCGGATATCTGGTTGAAACACCAAGTATTTATGGGTGGTGAGTTATATTGATACTTTAAAAAGAAAACAATGACATCAAAATATTAGTAACTATGTACTTCTGTTTTGTTAGTAAGACTTCAAGCGGTTACTTCGTTCGGTTATTGATTGTCAACCTATAGACTAATGGTATAATATTGAAACGCATGTAAGACTTATTCAAGGCATTTCAAAAAAATGAAAAGATAAAAAATTTACCAAATTGAACATGGAAATTATTGTGATTTATTTAATATGGATAAAATGTAGCACATTTGAACGCTAAAAAGAATATGGGCCAAACATCATAAAGAAATAATTTCAAAGAGAAATAAAGGAGGGGATTATCTTCACTGTCCCTGAACACACATTGTCAAACCTCATGGTGTTGCTACCGGACTTCAATAATATCTCAGGGACGGCAGTAGTTGGTAAATGTAATGTCAGTTGGCGAAAAAGAAGAATAAGAGCGAATAAGGAACAAAAGTAGAATTATCGTCACTGGCTCAGGTCCTACTTTTTTTAAGTAGTCAAAATGTGAAGGAGCACTGTGATATGATAAAAAAATTTTGAGTCATGTTACCTGTTCAAAACAAGATTCATTTAGCAGTGGTTAAATTGGTGTTACTAAAGTTGTGTATATATTCAGACATTATCGATGTGATTGAAAATTATTTTTGAACAGACTATATCAGTTCGAAGAAGTTTGTAATGGTGAATTAATGAGGTGTTACAATTATTAATCTGTAAAGTATCGAAATTACGTGAAGAAATACATTATTCTCTTTTTACGTCTTATTCAATTATTAGGATTCTATTCACGTAGAGAAATTGGAAATGAAGTATGGTAAGTGGAACCGAATAAACACTGATTTCAGATCTTATGTTGCTGATAACTGATCCACTAGAGGAGGTCCATTCTACACCTATTTGTGAATTTCTTGAACAACAGTTTTGAAACGTGATACTCATTTGTTTTGCAACATAAGTGATTGAAACAATTTAGATATCAAGAGATTTGTAACATAGAATGAAATGACGGTTCACTTATAGTTGTCTACAATGGAAAATCTGAGATGTGTAAGACCCAGTGCAGTAGTTTAGTTGTTGAGAGATCAAGTTCCTCATAAGCTCATAGGTTCAAGCCGTGCTTCGGTTTCATCAGCCAATATGACTTATTTTGAGCCATTTTACTTAAAATCTGCTTCAATACCGATCTTAAGCATTACAAGAATCTGATAGTTAAGAAACTAACGAATTCACACATGTCACATACTACAAACGATCACGAACTTCTTTTAACGATCCCTTAGCTTTATCTGTAAAGAGCACTTCAGCGAATGACTATTTATGTGTATTCCGCATATTTTTAGCTGATCACATCATTAAACAGGTGACCTTCATTATGGCGTCATCCAGACAAACCTTTTCGCTATACATTCAATCAAATTTATTTTGCAAAGAATAACTACCTTTAAAGCTTTTCAAAGAACATGTATACAGTACATAATAAGTCTGATATATGTACTGCTCGAAGGAAACCCCTCTTATTAAAATCAACGGGGGTATAGATAGCAGTATTTTGAATACTTTTCGTACACTGTTACTACTTACTAACAAATTTATTATATGATTACGAGACACACGTTTACTTTATTCCGAAAGAGGCCGCGTGAAGTTGTCATAACACACATAAACATCCAATCCATTGCTTGTATTTATGAATAATAAATTTGAAAACAGCTTCTGATATAGACTGAATTCAATCACAGATTCATTTGAAACCAGGGTGTACTGAAAAGCGGTTTCATTCTATTTTAGAACGTCTCAAAAAATAGCTTCATGAAGTCATAATCAAGAGTTTTTTGTTAAGAGGAAACCGCTGTCCAATCCACTATGGCCCTCTAGTTGATATTATTCAACGATGAAATCCTAGCTACATACTGAACAGTCTCAAAAATCCCACTAACTTAACAATGAATTTGACACGATTTTAGTTTACGGAACTAAACATGTTTACATCAAATGAGTGTAGTTTATAGAAACTATAGGTCAAGGTAATTAAAAATTTCAACATTATTTGTATCAGTCAGAACTTATGAACGGCTGCTTCAAGTGTCGTCATCAGCAAAACTAAGCGGTAGAGAACCCATCAACACCTTGGTCAGAACCAGGGAAATAATACACACGACTACATATCAACTTTTCCACCCCAATAAAGTGTAACATATCTTGTAATGGTTAATGGCTATTGAAAATAGCCAGAAATTATCCGTGTGCACCGACAAAATCTTTCTAGTATTGACGGAGGTTTACTGCTGTAACGGATTTTCAGACACTATAATATTAGACAACGCGTCATGGTTCACATTATATATATATATATATATATATATATATATATATATATATATATAAACTCAAAATTACAGCAGAATGAATGGTATGAAAGCTATGTGTACAAATGGTGTACAAGCCATAGGTTTTGTTACATTCGACACTTATTTGATGCTTTATCAGTACACTTTTTCCATTCAATACAGAATAGAACCAAGTAATACAATACAAATGTAATCATATACAATAAATATCAACAAAGAAGAGTCAACTAAAAACTTATAGAGATGATTCATCAATTCTGTAGATAATCCATGTACAAATTTTTTAACGGTTGAAAGATTTTAAAGTGACACACCAGCAAACTGTGTTTCGAGGTCATTCTAATGTAAACAGTCATGGACCCCTCCAGGTGATGATATCTAATTCTACCTACGTTAGAATCGGATGCAACATTTCATTACCTGAAATTTTATCTAGATTTGAACGAACATTGATAAAAGTTTGTAGTTAAGTATATAGAACACATTAAAGATGAAATTTATGCGTCAATAGGGACATAACCAATTATTTGCTGATTACGATTGTGAATTTACTAATCCAATGATAAACTGATAACTGTCTCTTTATGAACACAAACCCAGTTTAAAAGTTTTTAGTGGGTACTGCTTTAGCGAAACAAATAGAAGCTGATTTATATTGTCTGTTGATAATTTTTGAAGAATTTTCAAACGTCAATAATGCGCCAACTATTCATTAGATGCCGAGCTATTGCACTTACCAATCTTGAATTCTTTGGCATGTGCTCTGAAATAAGAACATGTACTATGTTCGCTATTTTTCTAATGTATGCCTCTTGGGACATACATGTTAATTAATAAATGTAGTTGAAGGTATTGAGAAAAGAGGACCTGTTGATTTTTATTTGTATTAAAAGGGAAGTTTGTTTCACACAATGTGATTGGACCTGGTACTGGACAAGTATTCTTCAATCCAGCATTTACTCTGTGAATAATTCTACCAGTAGTTTCGTCTCCTTTAAATTAAAGATATAGGGAGCAGGCTATTTTTTCAATTGTATCGTAATTAATGCATATTTTTAAATTTTAGCATGCTTCTCAATGAATTTCGGTGGGTATGCATTTTGACGTGGACAGGTTTTGGTGAAAGCAAGTTCTTCTCTCAAGCTTTTCTAAGAGCTGAGTTCACGAGCACGTTTATAAGGGGTTTTTACAATTCCATTTTTATAGCTTATTGGACAGAGGCTGTTGTAGTTCAGATAAGTTACACTCTATGTGTTTTTGCAACAGATGTATCTTTTTGGTTTGCCATTTGGAGTTTGTTCCAACATCTAGGAAAAACTGATGATCTATAGTAAATTCTATATCGTTGTATACTTTGCTGAATAGATTGAGGAGATATATGGAATGCTTCTGATTGTAGCAGACAAGAAATGTATCATCAATATATCTACAGTAGAATGTAGTTTCATCAATTATATTTTAGCTCCGTTTGTTCTAGACATAATAATACAACTTCTTTTTATTTCGCTGAAGCAGTAGCCAATAGAAAACTTAAACTGGATTTCACTGGTTGAATTCATGAGTCAATTGAAACTAGACCATCATGGAAAATCTGGAAGCACTGGATGACCGTTTCGTATGGGACTCCTCAACAGTGCGCATCCACGATCCCGCCCACCGCGAGATCCAAACCCAGGACCTATCAGTCTCGCGCCAGGCGCTTAACCAACTAGACCACTGGATTTGTTTCCAGAAAGACATAGATATTGATTTATCATTGGATTGATAAACTTACAATCTTGATCAAAATCACCTGTCATTATTATTATTATCATCATTGGATTGAATTTATTTCGTTATGCAATCCTCGTTAACCCAATTGTTATTTCATTTACGTCAAAACTATCTTCATCTGTGTTTCTTATTTACCGAATTCTTAAGTCTATCGACTCTTCCAAACTTTTTATAATTATTACGTAACCCAACGAACTTATCAGTTTGTTTGTTTGTTTTTACTTGTACCACCATTGATGAAAAGATCTTTTCACTTTGATAATTTGTTCTGTACAAGAGTCCTGTTTCTGACCGTAAGAATTTGAAATGATTAATTTATCTCTGTTTATGTCAATATCTAAGAAAGTAAGTTGATATAATATATTAATAACTGTCATATGTATACATGAACACAACCATATGTACACTGATTAATACATTAAATTTACATATTCCGAAAACATATAAAGGACCAAAATTAAAAAGACTTTAACAAGATCAGAATTGTTGACGAGAATCTTGTAGTATGGTTTAAAAAAGTGGAGTTTTTGATAAGGATATCTTTCTATCATCATTCAATGCATTTCAATCAGAAAGTAATGTAATAGAGAACCTTACACAAGTCCAAGTAACAAACATACCAATCATCCAAAAACTTATAAACACAGAGAATACGATTTGAAATGAATCAAATCACTGACAGGTTATATTCAAATTAACGATAAATAGTAAGATGTAGAACGTGTATATTTGTATTACTGTCAGTGATTTTAGCCCATATCATCTAATTCTTCACCTATTGTCTGCGATTATTGCGCAAACCTCAAAGAATTCTTTCTCTTCACAAGGGCCAGATCAACACACAACGATTTCATGAACTAAAGCCATATTTTGGTTTGATTACCTCTCACTGCTTAGATACAGTTCAGAGCAGTGCCATAAATAGGAAACGTCCAGGCATACGCAGCACAGGTTCCAAATATGAGTCACAGTTTTAAGTGTCAGGTCAAAAGATCAAATAATCTAAAATTGATGAAGTAGGATTCAAACTTGTTACTCACTGGTGTTAAGTCATATACTTTTGCCACTAAAACAAAACCCAAAACTAATCAGTAGTGATGGAGAAGATTTGTAGCTCAGAGAACAAAACTCCATCGAAAACTAGTCAGTAGTGTATTGTTCACTAGCTGCAAACACTTTTTTCTAAAATGAATAATGATATTGAATAATCCAAATCTGGAAAAAATGTTCTATTGGAAAAATTTCAGTAACCGAAAAAGAGAACTCACTCGGACTTTAGCTCCAACTTGTTAACTGGCACAGATGTCATATTATCACCATTCTTATCATCATTACCATTTGACTGATTGCATATTGACGGTAGTCTTAAGCTTGCATGCAATATACCACCTAAACTGCGTACAATTCGACCAGCTAAGCACCGATCAGCAGGAAAATGTGCAGGTGATAACCCAGACAATGTGATATGACAGTTAGGACCAAGTACAGTTTTTCTTAATTTGGCTATAATATCAGAAACGTGCGGTAAATATGTGGATATAACATCTGTATTTCCAGTCCGATTTGTTAGGCAGACATTTTTACGTGAATTATTCACAATGGATGAGTTTATTGAATGGTCACTAGTTAAATGTTGAGGTGGATAGAAGAAAAAACATCAAATAAATAAGTAAATAAATACAGAATACTGTACATGATAGACCGTAAACTATCAGTTAGGTCCAATCGGAACTGCAACACGGCTTGGTTTTCGATCCCAACCGAGATCTCTACATATTTAGTCGGATATATATGAGAAATGAGCTCTCTAGTTTATGGAGAAAAAGGAGTAGTTAAGAAAGCACCTCTTTGTACATGGATAAAACATTGCCAGTAACGATACGTAGAATTTGAAGACAATGCAATGTCAGAACGACTATCAATCTCCTATGTTAATGAAAACACTGGATCGGTGAAATCTACTGTTATATTTGATTGTACGAATACTATCTGAACGACTGTTGACGAACTTCGATTTAAAAAAAACCCATCCGTATACAGACTACTCTGACAAAATGTTGGAGTTGAGAAAACTATGACATTCTTTATGTTGGATTTGTAAGAATACCTTAAGATTTCAACGAAACTTGTTTTTCTTTCTTTGTTATCTCACTTATCAGAGATTGAGGTAGCTATTAGGGGAATAACTTGAATACTTTTGGTGTTGTTACAATATGTTATTGTGTTTGGCATACTGGAATAAGTTGAAAAAGGATTCACCTTCACCGCAATCTACAGTTAACATTTTCAATAAACAAACGAACAACATTAATACCTGCCTTTAATCATAAAAACAATGATGTCTTTGCAACATCAAGAATGAATAGAAATGGCTTTTGCTTAATCAAAAAAAGTCAAAAATTGAAATGTTCAATTCATTGGAATATTTAAAGATGTATCATTATCTTTTATTATTTTAATAATCCATCAAAAGCTCGATTTGTTTGAAATCTATCAAGTTTAACCATGATAATGTTACCACCTGCTAATACCTACCTGTGTTTATTCTCTAGTGATTTTGTCATCAATGTTGTTTTATGACGATTATAATGACCAGTTTGCCATAGATCATAAGTTTTAAAATAATTTCGATGAATTCTCAATAGAATCTCTTGTAAACGTAATAAATAATCATCATCTGCAGCGTCTATTTCTATTTCTATCTCTTTTATTGTCGATAATGAATCATGATCATTATTATTATCATTCTTGTCATGATCATCATCAACAACAACGGTAGTTGAGGTGAAATTATCGTCTATATGGTCTCCAATATTATCAGTTGATTTGGATAAGTTTAGTGTGACATTTGCACTAGTTGATTGAGTTTGACAAAATTCAATATCATTATTATCAGTAGTAGTAACAGAAGCATCATCATTAGTCCTAGATTCACAGAGTCAAGATAGAAAAAAATAAAAAAGTATATATATATATATATATATATATATATATCAGGAGTTCGGTTCGTCAGTCAATCAGCCATAAGCAAGGGTTTCAGTCCTTGAGACCAACAACGGAAAAGTACCAACTTTTACATATAAAATCCATACGTGTTGCAGAAGTTAGCGACTATTAGGACACAGTAGCTTAGGGAATAATGCACTAGTGTTTGAAGCGAAAGAAACTAGGGTTTTCATCTTGGTGTGGATATTAACACTGAAGTGCAGTTACAGCCAGATAACAAGTCCTGAATAGGATGAATCTTATGTCATAAGCAATGTAGAATTGATCTAAGTACCCGCACTATATCAGGACAGTAAGATGAATACTAAAGTAATAGAAGTAGTAACATCATTGCTAGACGGAAAGATTTATGAATAAAAATACGATTCGAGCAGATAGAATGACTACATTTCTAATAGAACCCTCATTGTTAATGTTTTAGTATTATTATGAATTTGAATTTGTTATTGTAGTCAAAGAACATGCATGAAGAGGATAATATACAAATCACTTTAGTAGTGATAGTACTTCTTGAATTTCTTAGTAATTAGATTTGTGATAAGGTTATAAGCATTATATGAGAGCACAGGTAAATACATTCGGCTATCATTTACAAAATTAGTCAAATAAAATACCAAAAAAATGAAATTAATGACAATGAATGTTGTCAGTCATATTGATTGTGATTGTCTTATGAACTAAAAAGTGTCAGGCCTAAAACTCACCAAATCATAAACCATGTAGCACATGTCCTAAAGACTAAGCTATGATAGAATACAAAAACCCAATTTGTTGTACATTTTCAAAAATTTTAACATTTAACTCAATTTATATCCGACAATCAGTGAGATATAGATATTAATCAGTCAGCTACAACGTAGGACCAGGCACATACATGCATCGGTCCAAGTTGCGATACCTCATAATTAATAATAATAATAATAATTAATAATAATAATAATAATAATAATAATAATAATCTTACTTATCCAGTGTACAGAGAACCGGTTTTTCATTATTGCTGATAGCAGTTGTAATATTATCCTTGTTATTTGACTTTGCTTCCACATCGTGTGATAAAATATTCTCATTAACTTCACTAACCTGTGAATTCATATTTTGATCAGGTTTATCGATCAGTTGAACATTTGAACAATTCGATAACGGTGAGGAGGAGGATTCTGTGACCTTTGTTGAAGTCGATATAAAACTACCAGAAGATGACGAAGTAAGGATTGAAGATGATGATGGTTGTGATGACCATGGAAAAGCATTAATATCTCCAATATCTGGAAAAAAGCTGATAAAAAGAATGAAAATAAAATACTTCAAAGGTGGTTTTCCTTGAACAATAATAAAAAACCCTTCTGATAATAATCATCTGCTTACTAGTGACTGACTTCAAGAGGCATTTCCTAGGGTTCTAGTGACAAGCCGTTACCAGTGGAGTTCATTTAGGTCGGTTGTGAGATATCAGCTCACTAAAGACAATGGTGTACGGTCGCGCAATTTCGTGGATTAGTTGAAGTTAGGCATTAACACCGTTGGATGCCAGCTCAGTGGTCTAGTGGTTAAGCGCTCGCGCGTGAGAATGATAGGTCTTGGGTTCGAATCTCGCAGGGGGCGGGATCGTGGATGAGCACTGTGGGGGAGTCCCATATTAGGAAAAAGGGCTCGTCCAGTGCTTCCAGGTTTTCCATGGTGGTCTAGCTTCAATTGACTCATGATTTCAACTACTGAAATTACTAAAAATCTCCATAAAACCCCTTCTGATAAAACTGAATATGTTAATTATTTAGCAATAACCAACGTGGAGTCTGTTAAAAATGTGTGTTAGTCCAAGTTGTCAATATTGTAGTTAGCACAATAAGGTGAATAGTAAAAGTTGAAAGAATAATAATGAGAAAAATTAAACGAGAGTGTATTTTGAAAGAGACTGAAAAAAAGATATGTATGAAGGAATACAGGAACTCAAGATTTGGATTTAGAGAAAGAGCGACTGTATCTGTGCACCAATGTGACTGGTTCTGGGCCATGTCATCCAGTATATGTGTACACTCGAATTCACAAGCGAAGCTACAATAATCAAATCCACTGGGAAGATACATTCAAGGGAACAAAACTAGTGAGTTAGTGGCACTACAAAATTGAATAAGAATCGACTGAATAAGTGCTTATTGATGTTTTGAGCTTCTGGGAGAATAGGTATTTCAAGAGTAAATCGAAAAGTTTAGAATGAAGCACGTTAGCTATACTACACGGCCACCACTAATCATTTACCACACATGAAATCCTATTCATCTATCCCACTTTTTCCATAAAAAGTTATGAGCTTTACTTTCATTGATGAGGACCGACTATTCGACCTTAAAATGCATATTGCAGTTTCAAGCAATTGGATTGATACTGTAATCATCAAACGGTCAACAATTAATAGGGAAAAATTTATCACAAACCTTTTACCTTAAGCATTTATCAAAATGAAAATATGTGGAGAAACTGATATGAGATTAACAGATTAATGTCAATGGAGTTAAATTTATCAGAAAATTTAAGTCAATCTGTAAACAACTGACATAGGTTTCTCCTAAAAAAAAATCAGCTGAAATCAGATAAACAAAACACAAGTGAGGACAAATCCCAGACTAATAGTACTGATCGATACTTGACCTACATTTCTAACTAAATTAAAAACGATAAAATATAATTACAACAGAGAAGCAGATTGGCGCTTCAACAGAAATATACATAGTTTTAGGGACTGGAAATCCTGAGATCGATGATTTATACAGTTTAGGTGCAATTGCGTCACAAGGTAAGCCCTAACTTGGAATCCTGAAGAGAAACTGAAAAGAGAAAGGCCGGAGAACACACTGCTTATGGAATTGGGAGCAGACATGAAAAGGATGAATAGCAACTGAAAAGAATTGGAAAGGATTGCCCAGGATAGGGTTGGATGGAGAGTGCTAGTGGGCGACTTATGCTTCTCCATGAGGGGTAACAGGAGTAAGTAAGTAAGCGTTCTTCCAGCTGGATAGTTGAAAACGTCAAGTTCTCACTGTCTTTATATACAACGTCATTAACACAAACTTCAGATAGGAGTGAGCTACATGAATTTCCCCACAAATGACTAACAGTTGGTATTGTCAACACCAAGTGTGATTACTTGTTTTCAACACTTTTAAAGTCCTCTATAACCTTACAATCATTACTCATCCTTTTTCGGATGTTTGAAATCTCGGATAATTTTACGACATGATCTCTTTCTATTCTTCTGTAGATATAAATTTATCACACAACTATGAATACGAACGTACGGCTGACATCGTATACACATACATTCTAATTTTCTTCTACCTTGATCCAATTCTTGGCCTTCTAGTTGTTTAAGAGTTTTTAAAAACATTGATAAATTGAAAATACTTCAATATATCTATTGACTGACCTGAGATCCAAACATTAAAAGCTTTACTAGCCTTATAACTAAATCCACCTCATGAGCCATAGATCTTTTCCGCCACGTATGAGGTTAAAAGTTTCTATGTCTGAGGTATCATTAACAAAAACGTAATATATCTTTTCTAGTATTTTCCCATTTTAAAAAAATCTTCATTTTGATGTTAATCTGTGATGTGAACCTTATGTTCAAAAACTTCTTAAGCGCCAACTAAATCATCTGAAGGAAGTCAATACGTTGTAATTAATGTTTTAGACATATTTTATTGTTATCTATAAATTGGTTGATATTTAAAGACAGTTAGTTCTGATAATCTTTGTCTTCTTATTACACTATCCAAGAAATAAAAATAATGATTTTAAACAATTATTTAAACTTAAAGCGGTAAGACTATAATTTATGGAGGACCTTTGAGCGACGCTGAAGTGACCTTGAGAGTGTTTACCTACTTACTAGAACTAAATAAGCATTATAAAGCAGTTTGAAGAATAAGGATTATGATTTACAGTTTATGGTTATGGTTAGGGTTGGGAATTATCCCGACCGTTGTTGCTACCTTGACGTGGTGGTCGGGCTTGCCTATCGTGATGAAGCAACCGAGCTATACTGGCTGGAACAACCGTTCCTCAAGGTCCTACCATGTCAGACAGGTCGGTTGAAGAGCGGTAAGACTAAAAGCAACAAACCCAAGGTCCGAAGGCGAAGTCGTACTGCTGACTGTACAGAGGTGTGACAGCAGTAAGGTGTTTCCTTCAGACAACCAGCATGACAGCGATGCTGCCTTCCCACAAGGAGGGGTGGGGTTAGAAAAGGTCGACCCTAAAAATGCACACCTCGCCTTATCCCACGGATATCCGTCTCCGGCGGTAAGGTCTCAATAAGTACGGAGCTAACACAAAAATTACCCATAACAAGGTCGTGTGTGACCGACCTCAAGCAGTTGTCCCTTGGGCACTGCGGTCACGCTCTCAGGTCACTAAGACCACCTCTAATCCAATTTCCTTTTCAGGTACCTCCAGAACAACCCTTCCACGGTGTGGGCAACCGGGAAGTGATAACCGCCCTCATACTTCTAACAGCACTCAAGACCACTGTATTCATAATCAACCTCCTCTTCAATTCCTATTATTCCTCCTACATCGACTTTCAACTCTATATTTCCTCTCTCGGCTTCCACCTCAAGTGTCACCGTAGCCAACGATTCTAGTGCGCAAAACACTGTCCCAGGTCTACTGAAACCTCGCTCCAAACTACACATTGGAGCCTTCAACGTACGCACCCTATGTCAAATCGGTCAGCAGGCTTCCTTGGCTAAAACCCTAGAGTCTCTTTCCATTGATGTATGCTGTGTCTCCGAAACACGCATACAGGATTCCAGTGTGGTCATTCACTTGACCTCACCTCGGCAAGACGGAGAGCCAACGAGATACACCCTTCGTGTGTCTGGTGACCCGATGGCAAGTTCTCGTGGACTGGCAGGTGTAGGCATAGCACTAAGCATGAGGGCCGAACAAGCACTGCTAGAGTGGATCCCCGTCAACAGTCGTCTATGTGCTGTTCGGCTGAACGGCTACGTAAGAACTCGGAAGGATAGGGACACACGTCGTTGCCTTTTTGTCGTTTCTGCCTACGCTCCCACTGACTGCAGCTCAGATGAAGTGAAAGATGAATTTTACAGAAAGCTGTCCGAACTTCTTCAGAAAGCTAAACGCTCAGACATAGTACTCGTAGCAGGTGATTTTAATGCTCAGATAGGCAGTTTAAACCAAACAGAAAGGCATTTAGGTGGATATTTTAGTATTCCGACACAGCGAACAGATAATGGTGATCGTCTGCTGCAGCTATGCTCAGACAATCGTTTATTTTTAGCAAACACAAATTTTAAGCATAAGGAGAGACATCGTCTAACATGGCGACCCCCTACACCAAACCAACGATGGACTCAAATAGACCATATTGCCATCAGTCATCGTTGGAGAGGGTCGGTAGAAGATTGTCGCTCATTCTGGAGTACCTGCTTGGACTCCGACCATGCCCTAATACGGGCACGCATCTGCTTGCGCCTCACTGGACGCAAAAAAGCCACATTAAAAAGACCCATTAGAACTGAGTTGAGTAACGAGAAAACCAAAAGTAGGTTCCAGGAACAACTGAGGTCACACTTAGGTAGTTGTGAAGACGAGGCTGACCCAGATGTTGCTTGGAAGGGCATACAATCAGCTGTGGAAACAGCAGTGACATCTATTAGTGACTTAAACCACAGAGTTACAAGGAACCAGTGGATTTCTTCAAGGTCTGTCACACTGATGGATTCTCGCAAACTCGTCCCATCAGGTTCTGAACATGATGAAGAGCGTAAACAAATCAGATCTAGGTTAAGAAAAAGTCTAAGGAACGACCGTGAGCAGTGGTGGGTAACGAAAGCAAAAGAGATGGAAAAGGCGGCGACTATAGGGAACACAAGACAGCTTTACAGACTAATAAAAGAAACTGGAATTAATAAGTCAAGTGTAAGTGAGATTATTTCGGAAAAAGATGATACTCTCATCTGCTCCCAGTCCAGACGTTTAGAACGATGGGCGGAACATTTTAGAGAACAGTTCAGCTGGCCTTCAGCTACTCTACAACTACCCTCCATTCCCAGACAAAGTGAATGGAACATTGAAGTAGGTCCCCCAACTCTTGCTGAAGTTGAGAAGGCTATAGTTAATCTGAAACGAGGAAGGGCAGCTGGTCCAGATGGATTGGCTCCAGAGGTCTTTAAGGATGGTGGTCTTATGGCGAACTGTCATCTACTTTTGCAACCTCAAGTGGTGTCCGTCAAGGCTGCCCACTTTCTCCATTTTTGTTTAACTTCATCATAGACCTATTGATGGAAATAACACTCTCGTCGACTGAATTCTCGGGTATTAATCTCCTTCCAGGAGGTCCACTTAACAACTTAGAATATGCAGATGACATAGTCCTGTTTGGTGAAGACGCTGACAAAATGCAGAGTCTTCTGGTAGCACTAAGCAACAATGCCAGAATGTTTGGGATGCGCTTCTCTCCCTCTAAATGCAAGTTGTTGCTTCAGGACTGGTCTGCGTCAACACCTGAACTAAGGATAGGGAGTGAAGTAGTCGAACGAGTTGACAACTTCACTTATCTTGGAAGTCTGATCAGCCTAATGGGTTGGTGTCTGACGAAATCTCAGCACGGATTCGAATAGCTCATTTGGTTTTTGCCAACTTACGTCACCTATGGCGAAGACGAGATATTCGTCTGCCAGTTAAGGGACGAGTATACTGCGCGGCAGTCCGTTCTGTTTTAATTTACGGCAGCGAAACATGGCCCTTAAGAGTAGAAGACACTCGTAAGCTACTAGTATTTGACCACAGATGCCTTAGAAATATTGCTGGCATCTACTGGGATCACCGGGTAAGTAATAGTGAGGTTAGACGCAGGGTATTAGGGAATGATGGTAAATCACTTGATGAGGTTATGAATCTTCATCGACTGAGATGGTTGGGCCACGTATTACGTATGCCTGAACACCGATTACCGCGACGTGCAATGCTAACCGGTGTAGGGGATGGTTGGAAGAAAGTTAGGGGCGGCCAAACCAAAACGTGGCATCAGTGCCTGAAGTCACTAACTTCTAGTCTGAGCCATGTTGGTAGATGCAGACTACTTGGTTGGGGTCCGCGTGACTTTCGTAACCAATGGTTGGAGACCCTTGGTGACATGACTCAGAATCGATCACAATGGCGTCGGTGTATACACTCTCTGTCTTCTCTTAAACTAAGAGATTAAGATCACTTCACATCTTTCTTTCTACGAACTAATTCTTTCTTCCTATACTATATCCTTATTGCAATATTTCTCCTATATATTACCACCTTTGACCTAACCACTCCTATGAATCCGGTGTTCATCTTGCTGTGCTAATGAGGTATGGCAACCTGGGCCGATGCATACATGTGCGTGGTCCTACGTTGTAGCTGACTGACTGACTGACTGTTGGGAATTAGATTTAAAGTTTTCATCACGAACTCACATCAGCTATAATACCAAGACTCTATATGGCCAAATGGGTGAATGAATTTTGTGCCGAAATCCAAGATCTGTTATCGTAAATCTGATTGCTTCGTCCATAAATTATAGTCTCGCCCTTAAAGCTACCAAGGCAGAGGTATCAACAGTGTAATTTTTAAGAAAACCCATTTAACATCTACACGACTGGAATATGGTATAAACAGTTAGAGTGATACAACAGAGTTCATAATAAATATATTTTTATGATATCCTAATGATTAAAAGTTTGTATTTTTGACGTTTTGTAACTTGATGTGAGTCACTTCTTTAGAGAAAATAAATTAATCGAAATAGAATTAATACAAGTTTAAATAGAACAGAGGAAACAGGAGAATATTTTTAGTACAATCAAAGTCATAATAAGTCCGAACATGTCAATGTCATGCTATTTTTTGGTCAAAGTGATTCTGTCATAGAAATCATTGTGTTTATTGGTGTGTATCATAATCAACTTGAAACTATCAAATCCAACCTTGATATTGATACCTACAAACTGATACAGTTGAGCTATAAAAACTTGGCGTTCTTGGACAACATGTTCACCTTGAACAGACGGCCGATATACACGCGTTTATGTGTACAATGCGTTTTAAGTACCTTTACAGGGCATATTTTGCTTAATTACATTTATTATGGACTAGTTTCTGTGAAAAACCAAACAACAAAATGCAAATTACTGGTCTATAAATCTGTTTATAACAACATTTGTCTTAAACAATTGGCTATTCTATTTCATATTTCTCCAAATGTCTGCCTGAACAAAATGAATATGGTGTATTTTTGAACGGTGGTGAACGCCGTTTTACTTATTATTGTCTTGCCATCGGATATCTTGTTCAGTTCTTAGGGGTTTATGTTAATAGTATGGTCATACCATTACATGTTATCGATCAACCAGTGGATTGCATCCATTGATTTAACGATCCCTAAATATCCTCATTTACAAGTTTGAAAATTTTAATCCACAACAGTGAAATATTGATAATTAAAAGATATCATGAACAGACCTTGTATTACACTAGAAAATTGTATCCATCAATGGAATTAGATTTTTGTTACACGAAAAAATATCAACTTACCGATATGGTTTAACATGAATTAAATTGGAAGACCAATCCCATACTTCACCGCGATCATCAATAATACATACTAGGTTGAGGCCACGAGGAAATAATGCTCTGTAATTGTAAATAATAATGATGAAATAAGAAAAGCAGAATGGTTTAAATGACAATTTATCAAAAAAGCAAAAAATAATAATTTCGCTAGATGAATACAGAACTAAAGTACATATACTAACCTAATGAAACGAGTTCACGCTCATAATCAACTCAGATCATCCATCATCAGTGAATATCCTAATGAACTAATTTCAAGTTTTGGTTTGGCTATTTGTAGCTTCCTCAACTTAACTATACTTAAACTAGTGTTTTTTCTTCATTTAGGATCAAGAAAACAATGTTCATGAATAATATTTACATTGAATTGTGTGAAAAGTACTGTATGATGCTCAGAATGTATAAAATCGGTATAATAAATTTCTTTCTGTCATCCATGTAAAACACGAAAAAAAGTTTAGTTATTGAATTGGGGATTCCAAACAACACATAAATCGATGAGCTTTTGTCCCAGTAGTCTTTGTTCATAGTAGAACACTGAACAAATCACTTCATTAATTTTCTAGATAATAAAGGATGGTAGTGTAGTAGTGTTAAAGCGAATCACAACTTCTACACATGATTTGCCTATATCTCCTAAAACCTGCAATTATCTTACAGGTTTCAGCACTTTTCTAATGAAATACACTTGATTCATACAAACTATTTCAATTGGTCGATACATAGCCTCGGAATCACTAAGTTATTCTTAATGTCGCTCAGGGTCGGTCATATAGTATATATACCTCTCGGGTGCCTGCATTTTATTGAGTAGTGGGTATCTAAGTGGCTCAAAGCTTTCTCCAAATGTGTATTTTGTATGGAAAGGCCCAATGTTCATAAGGAATCCATGTTAGCAGATCTAAATATGTTCCCATGGGAATAATTATAACATGCTCTAATATCCTAATTTGACATTTCATCCACTCATGTACGTTTCCGACACTAAATAACTTTGTACCAGATATAACTCCCAACAGGACAGTCAGAAACTCTATTTTTTGTCCTTACAATTCATGGTCAACGAAATCATTAATGTTTTTCACATGCTAACCCATCATATTATTATGGAAAAATTTCAAAATGCTGTTAGTTGAGTGAAGGCAGGAATCTTTTGCAACGAAGTTTCGTTATTAAGGCATATGTGCAGTCTTCAATGAATCGATATTCCCCGTTGACTTAGATCTTGTGTCATGTAGTGTCACAGTCAGATACTCCATTATTACGCAAATTTAGTTGGTGACTGACTTTCAACAGTACTGAAGTATTTACACTTAATACAAACCACTGTAATATTGTCTAAGCCTTGGTTTAGTGAATACACTGAGACTTAATCGACATTATGCAAATAATGCTGAGAAAAAGACAAGATACTGGCTACTAATAAGCGGTACGTCGGTGGTGTGATGGTTCAGTGGTTAAGGGATCTGACTTTCAATCATTAAGTCACGGGTTAAAACCTGGGAACCGTCCAATTCTCTCCGGGAAAAGAGACAGTAAAGTTGAATACATAAATCCATAACTAGTAAATGAATTATAACCTAAATCAGTGCATGGAATACTCGCTTTGGATAGGTCTAATCGTAATAATAAAGATGATAACCTTAAGTAGGGTAGCCTTTTACCCAATCAACATGAAGAAGTTTAATCTTAACAAAGAGCCAAATTATACCATTTAAAAACGGTTAACTTAAAAAATTCATAATCAAATATTATTATTGATACGCAAACTAACTTTAAATTTGCTGACTTTGTAACTGGATTAAAACATTCATCCCGTGATAGGATACGTTGTGAAAAATACCTACGTTTTGGATCAATCATTGAAGCAAGTTGATGTGCATAGACACGGTTACCAAAAGTGCAGATATGCATTTGATAATACTGACTAAGACAATCTAACACTTTTTCTAAATGAGGTCTTAATCGTGTATGATAAACAAGTGGTGATCCTGGCAAACGATATCGATGTACATCCTAATAAGAGAAAATAATGTTAACAAAACATTAGTAATAATAGCAATCATAATAAGCATACAGACTAACATGAGTAAAAATACGGGATGTTCAAAAATCTGTTTTTGAAGAAATCTTACTACTAATAATGAGAAACAAAAGTAAAAAGGTCAAAAATGTCTCATTCTACAGAGCGAATGTTGATTTCACGAGAGAAACGTTCTACTATTACTGAATCTATTCCTAGTGTGAGCATAATCACAATACAAACTATTTACATTATGAAATCGGCTAATTTTAGTTTGACCATTCTTCAGGTAACTTTGTAGTATGTTAAGGCTTTACATGACAAGTACTCTAGCCAATACATCCCAACGACATCGATTTGATAGGCTATTAGGATTATATGAAGATACTGGTTGAAGGTACATAGGGTGTTCAGTGTACAGAACAACTCAGTAATCAAGTTTAGGTTTATGTAATAGGGCAATGAGGTTTACTCATTGTGTACGGACTATAGATAAAAATTAAATTCTAGAACTTAAATATGAAAAATGAATTTTAACCCATGAACAGCCGAACCAAGTATAATTATCTACGAATAGTGACTTTTACCTCATAAATCTTATGGTAAAACAGACTTTTAAAGCCAAACTAGAACAATTATTTAAGTTTAGAATGATCAAAAGATAAGCATTTTCGTTAATGATGAACTAATATTCTGATCAGTAAATCAAAACAGAATATAGTGGAATACAGACATGTGGATTAATAGTTGGCGCTAAACACTGGAATCATCCAACACCAAATCTGCCATATTACAACAGTCCTCACCAAGGAATTAAATTCACACATATATTTCGTAGAAATACGTTATAAACAAATTGATTACTTTATATTTAAAAGCTTTTGGATCATTAGTTGTATGTATTATTGTCTGATCAAGATCAACCAGTAAAACAAGTTTTCGAGCAGCCAATAAACTTTGTTGATCCTGTAAAGCGATTTCATCTGCAACCTGTTTGAATACAAAAAAAGGTTAATGATGTTAACAAACAAAATGCACATACAAAATAGTATGTCGTAAACAACACATAGTCTGAATTGCCCCTTCAGGTAATTTGTTAGTCACAACACAGAACCTTGTACGTATGTATATCAGTTTAAGTTGTCATACCCCATTAGCACGGAGAAATGAAGTTGTCTGGTCAAATCTATGGGTATTAGAGGTAGTAACAGTATCAGTAGTAGTGGGAAGGAATAAGCACAGAAGATACGATTCACGAAGATATAAATTAATGAAATAAAAAATAAAAATGTTATGAGAAATTTAGAATTTCAGGATTTGGGGGAAGACAAAGAATGGATGCACCTGCGCCATTGCAAACGATTTCGAGCCATGTTATTCAAAGTCCACATGCAAGACAGTTTAACAGTTAGGTACACTGGGAGTACCACTACTAAGGGAAAAAAGATAAATAACTATGTGAATCACAGACATCAGTTTCGTAAAGATCCCCAAAATGGTTGACCGATAATGATCATGTTAGCAAAAAATGTGATTCACCAATAAATGAAGTACAAAACGTTCGTTACATCTAATAAACAGTATGTAAGACGCTTTCCTATAATTATCTATTAAAACTAATAATAATAACCGCATTTGGCATCCAGATTTGTATCTTCGTAACAAATTGTAATTAAGACAAGCTGACTATCATAACTTACTGTTTCACTGACATGAAGTTCTGGGATTGCATGCACCATTGGTATACTAGCACTAGCATCAGTAATCCGTTCACCTGATATCCCTCCTTCTCTGAGAAGACGTTGAATGAAAAAAGTTAGACTTACCTACGCAAATTGGCACCGCATTCCGCACACAAGTCTTTCATTACAACGTGATGTGTGCATGGTAGGAAGTTGAATAGAACACATCTTACAAATAAAAAATTAGTAAAGATATCTTACCCAGGAACAACTACGGCACCTTCATCTTTCATCTTGGTTACCCAACCATAACCAGGAGCTCTAATGTCTATCTTACCAGACGCGTCATCAACAAGTTCGCAGATAGAAACTGATGGGTTAACGAGTTGTCGACGATGTATTTTCCAATGTACAACCTTATCTTCAGTCACACTATCAGGAACACAAACTGGTTGCTTAGAACTACTAGTGGCAGTAGCCATTCACAAAAATTGAGACTACAAAATGGAAAGTGCATAAATTTTATATTCTGCACCTAATCATTAAATGTCAATTAAAAAGGATTTTCTGGGAAAATCTAGCACATTAATGCAATAAATGTTTAGGATGAATATTTGTACTTGAGGTATGCATGAAAATAGAATGACTTTATGAATACAATAAAGAGTAAAGAATGTTAGTGTTATTAACTTCATTTTTATTTTCTTACGTTCTTTCTAAGGTAGTAAGTGTAACAAGTGAGGTCGACATACATGTAGGGCCAGTGAAATCATTCGATACAGATCATCTGCCTCAGTGATCCACATACATATGTGCCAGACCCTGCGTTGTTTATATTTTTCTAATCAAAGTATGTGAATGCATGATCGATTGATTGGAAATCAAGTACCTTTACATTCAACTATTCTATAGATGCCCATATCAATGACTGAGAATGGTGGTCATAGACACAAACCATATGGTTTAGAATCGAGATATAACCACTCGAATGGTTGCATAAAAATAGGGTTTTCGATGTGTCAGACATCAAATTTTGCACAGTCAAACAAACCGTGTTTTAATAGAAACACGGTCACATGCCTTTAACACCTCTGTGAGTACGCTAATATTCTAATAACAGTATAGGCTAACCAGCTTTTAGATTCGTACTGGAATTACTTAGGTCTTGGATTGTGGTTAGATAGCACTATGACATTTTATATCAGTTAGTGATGAAAACACTAAATCTCATTTCTGACCCTACTGTCTAACTGTAAACCTACATACTAATTCCTTCCACTGATTTATAATCTTCGTTTAACCCTAGTAACTGGGCAGGGATTTTTAAGGTCACCTCAGCATTGACCAAAGGTCGTCCATAGACTATAGTCTCAGGAACAATCTACTTCGATTGGAGAATACACACCCTAATACGTCAACATACATATTTAGCTGCACGACTAAACGATGAAAATAAGTGCAAAAACCAATTAATCACAAGGCTTTTTCTAATAATATGAACCGTATGGAACACGGTAACTAAACATATCTTACTGAACTAAACGGTGGTCAATACAATCTTTGGTCAATTTGTTTCTCGACTGATGGGAATGACTACCATCGGCTTATTGTCTGGCACAGTTGAAAAATCGATGGCATTTTTCATGACCAAAAGTTACTGAATAGTACCTGCCCAATGATCAAAATAACTAAGCAACAGCAACGTCACAAGAACGTGAAACTTATCCTAAAGTTGTGAGTTTCCGGAACATAACTGAGACAATTACCGTGAAAGTAGACTGAAAAACAAGATGTTAACGAAAGGCTAATAGAACATGAGACTTCACAGATTGATATTTAAGCATCAAATAAAGTGCTACAGACCCTTTTATGTGGTTAAGAAGTCACAGAAAATAAACCAAGATACCAGAAAACGGACATAAATATGGAAAATTAAGCCGTTTGTCAATATATATTATAAAGTATAACAATGAGACGTTCCCAACATGACTAACAGTTACTGTAACGTATATGTTTGTAAATGGTTCTTAAAATTGTATGTCAGCATGCGAAGATAAAGACAGTGTATCTGTATCAATCCTTGTAATATACTCTTCTGTAATAGTTAGATTTCTCTTTGAAATTATGAGTTTTATACTTGTTCAGGTTTATCATTCTAGAAGTTGGCCACATAGTGACCTTAGTCTTTAATAAGCAAGCTACTTGCAGAAACAGTAGATGAAGTTAGCATTCATAAGCTTTACATAGTAGAATAAAGTGTGGATTATAAAAGTACACAGGCAAGCCGCCTCTTAGAATTTCTTTTTGCTTCTGCTGAGGAAGGAAACATAACCCTGTAAAATCCCGGCAAACTGACCGGATCCGAAGTAATATGGTCTTCCTGGTCTCAGTGACGATCAACTGCAACTAAACTGAAATCCGTTACGTCACTTTGACAGTCGACTTAGTGAAGGATTAGAATGAAACGGAAACTATAATCCCCGCCACCTTTGTAAGCAATCGTGGTCGGTTTGTCTCATTTAGTGTTTTTTGGCTATTTTTTTCGGGTAGCTAAGAATTTAATGTTTCAATGGTCGAAATTCTGAAATTTGCAATAGGCTCATATCACCACAATTTAACGTGTAACTTATAAACGAAATGAATTAGAGATATGTTAGGGCTAGTGGGAATATGATAAATATGATACATCAATATAACATCATATCCTGCACAAATTCTAGGCTCTCAGCTTCACCTTCCTGAAGCTATATACGCCATAATGTATATATAATCTCACGTTGATCGTTTTCAAGTGTTTCGAACGGTTTTCGACGGAATAGAAGAAGCTTTCGCCTAAAGGGCTTCCGTGCCTAGTAACAGTGGACCATCAATACCTCCAGGCAGGAACCTAAGTATATTAAAGATAAAACAGGAAAAAAGAAATTGGTAAATCATAATAAGATGATATCTATAGTCCTTAGGAATAGGTCAAGTCGCCTCTTAAAGGACTCCAGAGAAGTCCCTTTTACTAGTTCATTCGGCAGCGAATTCCAACATTTGACAACTCTTAAGGAGTAGAAGTTTTGTCAGCAGTCCGTTCTACTATGTTGTATCTCCAATTTCTGGGTGTTACCCCTTAGGTTTGTATTGGGATTAATCTTAAGTATGTGTTTAAGGGGATGTACAGAAGTGCTAAGTATGCTGTATGCCATCACAAGGTCACCTCTAAGACGTCTATACACTAATGGGTAAAAGTTAAGTGATTGGAGTTGCTCTTCATACGGTTTGAATTTGAGTTCTTGAACCGATTTCATGACTCGCTGTTGGATACACTCAAGAGTGTCCTTATCCTTTTGAAGTGAGGGAGAAAATACTATGTTTCCATACTCTAAATGGGGACAAATAAAACTGTTGAGGATTACGTGAAAAGTTTTCCTGTCAAACTGGCCAAAAGTGTGCTTCAATGTTTTCAGTGCAAAGTTCGCTCGAAAGGAATTTTTGTCACAATTAGCGTAAGACTTCAAATCGTAGGGTACCAGCACTCCTAAAAATACTTTTCGACTCGGGATACTATTAGAGAGGAGTTTCTTAAACTGTAACTGTAGTCTGAAACATGTCGCAGATGGACTACTTTACACTTTGAAGTGTTAGAGGTAAGTCCGTTATTATCTGCCGAACTGTGAGGGCAAGTCAAATTCTCCTGAAGTGCCAGTACATAATCTTGGTTGTGTATCTCTCCGAAGCTTTACAATAACAGCAAAAAGGAATACGTCAGACGTTACCTGTTGAGGAAGATCATTTATGTAGATCAAGAAGTGAAGAGGTCCTAGTACTGGGCCCTGGGGTACCCCACTAAAACATTCCACTGCCTGAGAGAAAGCAAAGTTAACCTTGACCTTAAAATGTCGATTTTTCAGGTATGAAGTGAGCCAATCAATTAGAGGTGATCTGATACCCAATGGTTTGAGCTTATTGATAAAACACATATGGTTGACCCTATCAAAAGCTCTTGAGAAGTCAAGGTAAATGATGTCAACCTTCCTCTTGCGATCAAGGATGCTTGTCCGTCCGTCCACCGAAGTCAGCAGGTTGGTTGTACAAGCGTGACCCGCCCCCCGAAACCATGCTGTTGGGGTGAGGAGAAATTTATGGACAGTAAATAGTCATGTATACACCGCATATCAGGGACTCCATGATTTTTGAAGGTATGAAGAGAAGAACCACCGGTCAGTAACTTGAAGGTTCGCTGCGTCGATCTCCTTTGAAAATTGATGTGATGTGAGCCAACTTCCAATATTCCGGTAGTTTTTCTCAGCTGAGCGAGTATGAGAACACCACGCCAAGCAGTGCTGCCAGGATTGAAGCTACTTCCGTCGGTGTAGCAGAGTGAACCATAACTGGGCTAGGAGAAGTGTGTTTTCTTAGGTGCTACAGTTTCCCGAACAGCAAGTCAGCGCTCAGGTTCAATTCGAAAAGTCCTATGCAGTTGCAGATGAAGCTGTCATCAGCATAGTTGATGTGGGTCGGTTGAGTTGTTCGAGAGTATTGTTCAGCCGGAACGTTAGCGGCGTCGCCGCCGTTATTGGTCGGGCCATTTGGACCTAGCAGTTGAGAAAATCTAGTTTTGGCTTGACGAAGAGAAGCTGCATAATAGTATAAGCTTTTCTGATTGGCGACAAATTTATCCATAATCTTCATCTGGTACTGAAGCCAGTCTTCCCTTATAGCATTCGTGCATACGTTCCTTATATGTTTGTATTGTCTGTACGTGCCACTGTTGTCAGTTCTTTTGTATTCTACCCAACAGTGCCTTAGAAAACGAAGGGTGCGGTTCTTGGTGATTGCATGTTGCTTGTAGCCCTTGAGGACTGTTTGAGGAACTGACTGCTTGGTAGCATATAAGAGCGTGTGCAGTAAGAAGTCCCAATCAGCATCCACATCAAGTTGAGGGTGAACATCCCAATCCACCTGTTGTAGATAGTCTTGTAGAGCTGAGACATTCAACCGTTTGAAATCCCAGCGCAGGTTGTTGGTGGGCTATGTTAGCTCAGTTTTGCTGACAAAACTGAAAGCTATGACGGCGTGATCGCTTTTTCCCAAGGAAACTGGGATTGATAGGTTGTCAACGAGGAATTCTTCGTTTGTAAATACCCAGTCTAAGTGCGACGGTATCTGATTGTTTCTTCAAGTAGTTGCCGACTTCACATTTTCGTATAATCCCAGATCCTCAATGAGGCTGAAGAACCGACCTTCAGTTGAGTTTTAGCTTCCAATATACGTATGTTCTGCGAACATCACGCTAAGCCGTGTCGCCAGGATTAAAGCTGCTTCCCTCAGTATAGGAGAATGAACAGTATCCGGGCCAGGACAAGTGCCTTCTCTTGGATGTTACAGTTTCCAGAACATCAAGTCAGCACTCAGGTTCACTTCGGAAGGTCCTGTGCAGTTCAAGAGGAAGCTTTCATCAACATGGTTAATGTGGGTCGGCTGAATCGTTTGAGAG